TCAGCTCTACATAAACTCAGCCGGCCACACGTCATTTTTTTGCGGAAACTTGGTTCACAGATTATATCAGACGTTGCCGTACCCGGCTACCAACCACATCGCAAAGACAGAGACAATAGAGGCGGTGGAGTTGCAATTTACACAAGAGACGATATCATAGTCAGCGAAGTTAGTTCTACTCAGCTCAACTCAACATCAATTGAGCAAATCTGACGAAAAATAAAACTTAATCAAGAATCATTTCTCCTCGGCTGCTTATACTGTCCACACGACGAAAATGATCAAAATCTTACACAGTGTATCACATCGATCACTACCGCTCAACAAATACTGTCTAAAATAAACTGCTCTGCAATGCTACTGTATGGCGATTTCAATTTTAGCCATACATCTTATGAGCCTATCGAAGTTAACGGTGGCATTACAACTGTTGCTCAAGTGAGAGGTGAGCGTCAAGGCGACATCAGGTTCCAGATGTGTCTTAATGAATGTCACTTAACTCAGCTTATCACATTCCCAACCTACCGTAGTAGTCGAAGGTCGAGCCTACTAACACACTCGACCTCATTATAACAAATGAGCCAGACCGTGTAATTTTCATTAAACAAGGCGGTTCTCTTGGTGACACTCCAATGGGTCAAGCACACTGCTTCATCGAATGCCAATTTGCTGCTGCATGCCTCAACAATTCGCCAACTTTGCCGTTAAAACCTCGACTCATTTGGAGTCGAGCAAACTACGCAGCAATATCAGCACATATTGCAGCTGCTGACTAGGAAACAGTATTATCAACTTCTAGTAAACGTGTACAATGAAGCCACTAACATACACTTTCCGTCAACTACCACTCCCTTTACAGGAAAACAGGAGCAATGGGTAACACCAGAACTTATTGAGGCGGTCAAACCTAAACGCACCTCTTGGGACAAATACATTAATGCAGGTCGAGACACGCACAAGTTCCTCAAAATATCGCATAACACTGCCTGCAAAAAAGTTAAAAAAATTATTAAAGCTGGTAGGCAGAAGTACAAAGAGCTACTCGTCAGGGATTCCAAAAGCAACCCTAAACGCTTACATGCATATATAAGAAGCAAGCAGAGCGTCAGTAACAACATTACATTGCTTAAAACAGTCAATAGCAACATCACAACCGATAACGGTGATATATGCGCATCGTTAAATAACTATTTTCAAGCAGTCTTTGTTTTAGAGCTTGAAGGTTCAATGCCAGGCTTTGAAAGTCGTACAGAAGCAGTTTGTGTCATCAATGCAACAATTTTCTCTATCGACATAGTACAAAAATGCCTAAACAGCCTTGATGAAAGAAAATCAACCGGCAACGCAGTGTTCCATTGTTCTTTTTTTGTAAAATACTTTCCATAATTTTGCAAGGTATGGAAGTGAGCAAGAATGGCCAATAGTTGGATGCTTTTAGCCTACTCCCCTTCTTGAAAATAAGTGTTACATTCAATTTTTTCCACAAGTCAGGAACTACACCAGTTGCAAATGAGCATTTATAGATAAGCGAAAGAGGCTTGGCAAAGATAGATGAACATTTACTAAGGACCCGTGGATGTAAGCCATCAAGTCATTTATGTACAGAAATATCATTTAAGTATACTCTTTTTGCTAAAATTCATGCACAGAAATATCATTTAAGTATACTCTTTTTGCTAAAATTCATGCACAAAAATATCATTTTAAGTATACTCTTTTTGCTAAAATTCGTGTGTAGAAATGTCATTATTAGTTACTTCTTTTTGCTAAAATTTGCAAACAAAAATGCTATTATTAGTTACTTCTTTTTGCAAAAATTTGTGCACAGAAATATCATTATTAGTTACTTCTCTTTGCTGATTTTTTGCAAGCAAAAATGCTATTATTAGTTACTTCTTGTTGCAAAAATTCGTGCACAGAAATGTCATTATTAGTTACCTCTTTTTGCTAAAATTTGCAAACAAAAATGCTATTATTAGTTACTTCTTTTTGCAAAAATTCGTGCACAGAAATGTCATTATTAGTTACTTCTCTTTGCTGATTTTTTGCAAGCAAAAATTATATTATTAGTTACTTCTTTTTGCAAAAATTCATGCGAAGAAATATCATTTTAAGTATACTCTTTTTGCAAAAATTCGTGCACAGAAATTCTATTATTAGTTAATTCTTTTTGAAAAAATTCATGCAAAGAAATTCTATTATTAATTACTGCTTTTTGCTAAGAACTGCGCACAGAAACTAACTAATTTTTTTTTGCTAACAAAAATTTTATTATTAGTTACTTCTTTTTGCTAAAATTTGCGCATAGAATTTAACTTAAGTGGTACAAAATTGAGAGGTGGGTTTTTTGAGGATTTTTAAAAATAATCAAATGAATTATAATGAAAAAGTAAATTTGGATGTTACTTATTAAGAAGGGTCAGAGTCAGGGTGAAAAAAAATTTTTTTTTTTAAATTATAAAGCAAAAAAAAACTTTTTTTCTCCTTGGTTTGTCATTAGTAAATAGATATAAAGTTTAAAGTAACAATGCTTGATTCAAGCTTTGTTTATAATTATTTTTATAGCCGTCATTATGGTGTTCTTTAATTAAAAAAAAAATGTTTTTGATACTCTGTTTATACATTTTGATTTTAAATTTACATTTTAGTTAAGTTTTAATTTTTAAGTACTTCTAATTTTCTTTGATTTGGTACTATTTAACTCAGTCAGGGTTAGGGTTAGGGGTCAGGGTTAGGGTTAGGGTTTTGTGTTTAAAGAAAAAGAAGAATAAGAAATACTAAATCAACTTATTTCAGAAACTGATATAAATAGAGCTGGGCATACTAAATCAGCTTTGTTCAGACGCTGATATAAATAGAACTGGGCTTTCATGTGCGACAGTTCAGTATGTTGTCATATCGAGCATTTTTGAATTATCATAGTAATAGCATTCCTTGTTTCTTTCTAGTTTTATTATTTACTTTTGTTACATTTATATTACTCTAATTTAGCTAAGATCATATACAGCTGTACAGGTCAAAAGGTTCACAGAAAAAAATGTTCATACTGTGTAAAACATGGCATTTTCTAAAAGCGTGTTTACTTTTTGAGTGTCTACTTCAATATTCCAATACTTTTAAATAAACTGAACCCGATAATCAGTTAGCAAACAATTCTTTGTAGTATATTACAACGTCGAAAACAACTGGCAAATTATTCAATCATTTTTATCATTATTTTGACTTGATTTTAGCAAAGTTTTCTACAAAAAAAAAAATAAAGTTTCGCGCAAAACATAACAATGTTTTGGGCTAACCAAGATGGCGGCTGACTTTCGAAACTGGCTTCACCGCCTTTTATGTAAATTATGTACTACGGGATCTCCTTTTTATTAAACCTCCTTGCATTATACGATGGAATTTAAAATAACTAAATGCTTTAGTTTTTTGATATTTTCATTATTTACAACGCTCTACTTAATATGACTGAGAAAAACTACTTTATTTACCATACAGCTCTCGGCAGCCATGTTACTTGCATTTGTTAGACCAATACCAAATCTTTAATGCTGTTCTGTAACAAGTCCAGTAGAGTTCTTAAAGCACCTAAAAGGTGGTACACCAGGAAGAGAAACGACAATATTTTGATTTTTTTTTTAATTTTATGAAAGACCCTTAGAATTGACTTTTAAAAAAAATTTTCGACATTCTTGTTTAAATAATATTGCTCAACTTTGACCTACTTGAGCCCCACTATCATATAAAACTCCATAGCAACAAGTTTTTAACTTTAATTGAAAGTGGTTTTCAATAGCAATTCTGAGATAAAAGGATAAAGTCATCGAAAAAGAATGGACCTTTCCCATAAATCGGCAAAAAACGCAATGCATTGTGGTAGTTGTATTCATTTAAATCAAAACAAATGTCGAAAAACCAAATAAATTTTAACAGTGATGTTCAATTATGTGAAAACAGTGAGATTGAACTTTGTGAAAACAGTGAAATTGAACTTTATGAAAACAGTGAAGATGATAGTGAAATTACTGAAGGTGAACTCACTTTTAACGGAGAAGTTGAACCTTGTGAAAACAGTGAACAAAATTCGATCTCACTGAAGGAAGTTGAACTCTCTTTTAACAGTGAAGTTGACTTCACTTCAAAAAGTGGTGGATGTACTTGTTGTGTACCAAACTGTTTTAATAATTCTAAGCGTAATAAAAACTTATCATTTTATGTTATACCCAAGGAAAAAGTGTTAAGAAAGTTATGGTTAGCCAAAATTAGCAGAAAAGACTTCACTCCTTCTTCTTCACACAGAGTTTGTTCAGCACACTTTCAAGGGAACAAAAAAACTTATATGAATAATGTTCCAACAATTATTCCAAAAACAGTTAAACTAACTGCTCATGTACCAAGAAAAACTAAAAATAGCCTTGGTTTATTACATAAAACAACATAAATACCTTATAGTGAAGAACTGTCAACACCTGTTTTAAGCTACAAAGAAAAATTAAAACAAGAAAATAAAATTCTTAAAGATCAAATTGAGGACATTATAAAAGAAAAACAAGCGTTAGTAAACACTCAAAAAGAAGCTATATGTAAGCTCAATGACAAAATACTTCTATCACAATTTACAGTTGAAAGGTTTAAACATAACAAAGAACATTTCAAATTTTACACAGGTTTTGAAAATTTTGAACGATTTAAAGTAGTCATGAAGTTTTTAGAACCAGAAATATATTCACTAAATTATTGGGGTTCAATGTCTACTATTGCTGACAATTTATCTGAAACTTCTTCATCTAAAACAAGAGGAAGATCACGTATATTAAATGTTGAAGAGGAATTTTTTATGGTGCTAATTCGACTACGTTGCCTTTCCTATAGAAGATTTAGCAATACGGTTTAATATTTCATCGAGCACTACCAGTAGGATATTAATTACTTGGTATGATTTTTTGCACATAAAATTTAGATCAATTCCAATATGGCCAACAAAAAAACTAGTTAATGAAACAATGCCTAGTTGCTTTAAAGATGTATACCCTAATACTCGTGTAATTATAGACTGTACAGAAATATTTACTGTGATGCCAACTAGCTATCGCACTCAATCAGCAATGTTCTCAAAATATAAACATCATCACACAGCAAAGGGTTTGATTGGTATTGCACCGAGTGGTGCCATTACATTTGTTTTTGATTTATATGCAGGAAGATCAAGCGATAAACAGATAACAAATCACTATGGCATACTAAAATTATTAGAAAAAGGTGATAGCCTGATGGCAGATAGAGGTTTCGATATCGTAAATGACTTACCAAAAGGAATAAGTCTCAACATACCACCATTTCTTGAAGGCGATTTTCAACTTACTTTGGAAAAAGAATTAGAAACAAGAAGAATCGCATCTGTGCGAATTCATGTGGAACGTGCAATTGCAAGAATCAAAAACTACAAAATATTACAAAACACATTTCCACTTACAATGGCTGCTGACATGAACAAAATATGGGTCATAGTTTGTTATTTAGTTACTTTTCTACCACCTCTAATAAAAACTGATAGCAAATAATGTAACCAGACAAAAAAAGAAACATTTTATAAATATTATGTAAATGTTTATTTTACTTTAAATATTTCTGTTGACATAAATTTGAAATAAAAATCTGTTAATTCTGGAAAAATAATTGTATTCCATAATTCCGCATCATACTCTATCGTTTCGATGTGCAATGACTTTTCTGTGTATACAATAAAATCAATTGTTTTAGTTTCTGTTAGTGCCATAATGCCTTGACACTGATAGTAATAAGGATGGTTTATTTTTAATTTTGGAGCACCATCGTTAAATTTCAAATAAAAGTTTTTATCTTGACACGCTTCTTCAATTGTTAAATGTTTTTTTGAAGAAGGACATTTCACTTCAAGTACTTTTTCAGCGCTAACTACTCCATCAGGGCTACAACCCAACCAAGGGCATTTTGGGTTTATAGAAAAACCACATCGAGTAACACTTGACTTCGTTATGCTTTCATATAGTTTTATTGCTATATCTTCATTAACCTTTCCCCACATACAGCTTTCTCCTACTTTGATATTTTTAGTTTGTAAACATTTTTTTAAAATTGATGTTAGGTAAATTTTTTTCCACCTATTCATTACAGTACCAAAATTTGAAGCTGTCAATCGTTTGCATCTTTCTTGATACCATAATATACTTTTAGATTGTTTAACTGTATTGACTTCAATATTTTTAGCTTCCTCAATGTCAACAATTAAATGCAATACTACAAATGCTTTTTGTTCAGTAGACAAACAACTTAAATCAATCATATTTTGTAAATTGTCAAAAAGAGTAATAATAATCAATCTGTCATATTTTTTACTAAAAGGTTCTGCAATATCATGGTCTATAAATGTTGACAGAAATGAATTAAAAAAGGAACATGCCTGAAAGTTATTATCACGAATTATTGAAGATATATATGTCCCCTGGCAGAGATTTTGTAAACCTTCACAAAGAGTTTGAAGTTGTAAAGTTGAAGTTTCGTAACAATTTGGTAATGAATGGTATCTACGTGTTCCTGAAACTAAAGGTCTTTTTCGAGTACTATTTTTGTCTTTAAAAGCATCAGCTTTTTCAAAATTTAAGTTTGAAAACAAAATTGCTTCAGAGTTGGATGATTCACCTGGTACATGCCATATCTGTAAAACATCAGTACATGTTTCGGTTTCTGGGACCACTTTAATGTCTAACTCTTTATAGTCAACTAGTTGATATAATGATGCAGCAACATGCTTACAACAGCCCCCCGCTCCAGCTTTACAATGGCATTTAGCATAAAGTATTTCACCAGTAGATTGGCACAAGTGTATAAAAAACTTCGTATTGTTTACGTTTCATTGAAGCAGCAACATTAGACTTTACAATAAACAAATTTATGGATGCTGTTACATTTGCTTTAACACATACATTTTTGACATAGTTTTCTTTAAATAAACGATAGCCAAGAGTTTGGTGTTTATTGGCTCCTTTTTTACAATTATCAATATATATAGTATCATTAACAAGATATTTCTTGATAAAATTGTGAGATATATTTGGTAAAAGTGAAATGTCTCTTGACCAAGTTGATATACTCTTGTTTATAGATTCTTCTTCGTCAACAGAAATAAGTTCATCATGCTTAAGTTCCCGATACACAGCTTTAGATGCCTGGCAAGAGTTCTGAAAAGAACTAGCATCAATTTTATTTTCTAAGTTAGCATTAAAAGAACTCATCATTATAATAATATTTAATTCCTAATACTTTAATCGGATTGTTTTGATTTAAATGAATACAACTACCACAATGCATTGCGCATTTGCCGATTTATGGGAAAGGTCCATTGTACTTGTTTTACACGGTCTAAACGGCATTAATAGAAGTCACAAATCTTATTAATAAGTTATAACGCTTTTATCCTTTTTTCTTTCTTGTTTTTTTAGTTTTCTAAAATATGACAACTTGAGTAAAGCTTATGCTTATGAGCTGAAATTTTCAGGAAATATTTACTTAATATTGATGCTCCGGTTGACCCAAGGGTTTTTCTTGGATAAATAATATAGTATAATAAAAGTTATTGTTATAAATCTATAGCGGAAGTCAATATATTTCAAATTTTTAAAAAGTAAACTCGAGATAAAAAGATTTTTAAAAAATTTAAAAACGCATGGGTTAAACAGTGATTATAATTTATTTTATAACTGTATCGATTTTCAATCAATCTTTTCACTAGATCAAGATATTGATTTGAAATACAGCCTTTATTTTATTTTTTTTTACGCCATAGTGGATTTTAAAAGTTTTTAAATAACAATAATTATAACAATTTATTAAAAGTAATTTTGACCAAATAAATACATTTCAGGTTTTATTTTCCCCCTGGTGTACCACCTTAAACAAAATTACGTAACTATTTTTTTCGGAAATTACTAATAAGGCCGGGACCCAGACCCGTCTATTAAATTGCCTCTGGCCTGATGAAATCCAACCCAAGCCCAGACCCGTTTATGTAAGTGGAGTCTGGGTCCACTGATACCCGACCCATTACCAGCCTTAATTGTACGTTAAAGTCAACCAATTTCGCGCTCAAGCTTGTAGCAAGTTTTCTGTTATAAGCACTTTTTCAAAAAAACTGTTAATATTGTAAGTCATAGTTTTTACTGTATTGCATTCATATACATTTTATTATCACAGGATTCATAAAACACTACTAGAAAAAAACAACTGCAACCGATTAAAACTCTTTAATATTTCAAAGTTTTATTCAAAAACGTCAATATGACATAATTACGAAACTTCTTTTTTTTGATTAAAAACCCAATTCATTCAAATGAAGTTAATTAAACCTCGACTAAGCGCATTGGATGTAATTAATATATTATATCACAATAAAGTTTTATTCACATTGCCTCCATACTTTTTGGATATTTATTAACAAACAAAAAAACATAAAAAAATATAATAATAAATTATAAAAAAACAAAAAACAACGCTAATTATTGTTTATTTTAATTTAATTATATTTCTATCGCATAAGTTGCGGAAACGAGCAAATCAATTTTCAGACGAGCAAATTGATAATTTTTACAATGCACACGTTTATAACTATTGACAATAAAAACCTGATAGAAGAGTGCATCTGACGGACAGACGAGGGCACATTAGATAAATCATTAATAAATAAACATTAACATAACATAAGTAAATCAGGTTAAAAAAAGATGATATTATAACTAATAAAAATTAAATATTTTTTAATATTTTTTAGACAAATTAAAAGCAGAAAATTCTAACTTTTATAGAATTTTTATAAATATTAACTAAAAAGTAAAGAATTTATTTTAGCATCCGAAAAGAAACAGAAAAAAAAAAAAAAAATTAAAATAATAATAATTAATCAACTATTAGACTAATTAATTACATAAATAAATCACATATACTTCCGGAAAAAAAAAATATATATATATATAACGAGTTATCAAACTTTCGAAGTACTTCGTTTACTTGCCAAATCGTATGGCTTTCCAAGAGGTAAAGTATTAGTAGAAAGATTGCTTTTTGGTCGCTGATTTCTATTGCCACGAGTATGTTCACCGCTTCTTCCAGTTTTCTTTACATCAAATCTTTTGTCCTTGGGTTTATCAGTAGTGAGTTTATCGTGTTCGGACAGAGTAGTTTGTGATGTTGACGAGGGTTCTTCACTTGCTAATACAACACTAGTGTTTTGAGACGGAGTATTGCCGTCGTTTTGAAAATATTTTTTCGTATCTTCCAACATTTTCTGACGTTGAATTTTCTTAAACTCTTCATTACTGGAGCATTGTTTAGCGGAAGAAAAATTGGAAGGAGATATTTGTAACGGTCTTTGAATAGGACCAAGCGGCTTGTTTTGAGGTAAATTGAAGTTAGGCCGAGACTGAATGTTAGGCTGGTATTGCTGCTGAAGATAATTTCCTAAATACTGATTGCTCATCGGATGTGTGACATGAACAGATTGCATAACACTTCCTCTAGGATGACCGAGACCAAGTGTATTCTGATACACAAAGTTTTGATGATTATTCATAACTTGCTCTTGGTGGTTCGATAAAGTTCTTAAAGGAGGACTGGTGCCAGATGATTGCCCGTGAATAGCTCTAGGACGAACAGGTGCTACTAGTGGATTAACTTGATGGTGATTAGGTTGCCGTTGAATTATAGGCTGTGAATACTTTTGCTGTGTTTGTTGATGAGCAGTTGGTTGGCTAAACACAGAAGAAATAACTTGCTGCTGCATTGGCGTTGCAGAATGATGACGATTAAGAAGAGAAGAACTCTGCATTAAAGGAGGTGTTTGGGAAGTAGGTTCAAATGGCTTTGCGTGAACATGTTTCATAAGATCAGACCGCTGCTGCTGACTTAAGTGATTTTGAGGATTCGAAGGATCTAACAACAACGTCATTGCATTTGTGTTTATGTGAGGTTGCGAGGGTAACACACCTTGAAATTGATCACGCCGAGTTTGAGATTGCGAAGGTTGAGGTTGAAGAACCCCAACAAGACGTCCAACGTAAGGATCTGTAATATTAAGTCCAACTTCCTGCGGAGACATTACGGCTAAATAATTTTCAGATATGAAATTTTTAAATAACAACAGTAAAGCAAGTATTTGATAATAAATCAGCAAATCTTACCTGTCTGATTGTGTTGCATTAGTGCTTGGTGCTGAATACTAGCTGTGCTCCTTTGAGGCGAATACCCACTTCTGTAAGACATTACTAGCGGAGATGTAGAAATTACAGGGGACGTAAACAGAGAACCCTGGTGGTGCTGTGTCGGATAGTGTAGAGGTTTTGTGGGCTGAACATTTGTTGTAGATACCATCTGCCAAGTCAGCAAGGCATTTTGGCTGTTTTGTATTGAAGCATCCATACCATAAAAATGAGTGTTTGGGTTGGCAACAGGCAAAGATGAAAGGACCATTTCAGGGCGTTGTGACATTGGAGGTACAACTTGATCAATAGAATGAACCTGCCCAGGTCTTGAATATGCTAATTGATTACCTTGTGCTCTAAGCTGATCACCGTAAATAGATTCATAAATATTTGTCTGCACTGGTCTTTCCACATTGAAAACGTAACGACCTCTATTAGGTTGACTGGATAGATTTGAAACTTGCGGAATATTAGCAGATATGTAAGATCGATTATCTTCAGAAGGTATTTGCTGTTGAGGTTTTACTTTACATATATTTTGTTGGTCTGTTCGCTTAGTTGGAAAATTCTGTGCTATTTTCTCTTCAGTAGACTTAACCTCAGTAATTGAAACAGTTGAAAGCTGTTCAAATTTTGTTGTGGGAAGACCTTCAGTAAGAGCAGGTACACTTTCTGCAACCGAGCTAGAACTAACAACACTGACAGTTTTAACTTTAGATGCGGAATCCGACCGTGCTGTTGGAGTCTCATCCCATGCTTTTTTTGCATCAAAAATTTTTCTGTTCATTTCATTCATCTCTTGTGCGATACTTGACGCAAACTTTTTAATATTGGGGTCAGAAACTTTTCCAGGATCACTTGATGGTCCACATAAAGTTGGTTCAGGAATTTTTACTGCAAGAGATGGACTTCCAGGCAAAGAACGTGTTTCTAACGATTGCTCCTCGTCACTAGTAATTGGTTTAACAACTGATTGGGGAGTCTTGTTTATGTTTTTTTCTGGTTCTTTACACAAAGACTAATAATAAAAAGCATAATTATAAAAAGTATAACTAAAAGATAAAAATAATAATAACGATTTAAGATTTAATAAGATTACATTCAATATTTTTTTTTTCTCTATTGTTCTCTTAATTATATATATATATATATATATATATATATATATATATATATATATATATATATATATATATATATATATATATATATATATATATATATATATATATAAAACTTTTCTTTTACCTTAACTATGTTGTCTTGGGAAGCCTGAAACTGCAACGAAACATCTTTTGCAGGTTCATCAAAGACATCAGATTTATAACTGCCAACAGAGGATTGAGTCTTAATTGATGGCTTTTTTGAGCCAACAACTTTTTCTTCTTCAGAAAGTAGAGATTTTGTTTGCATTTCCACAGATATATTTTCATTTAAAAACACTTCATCATTATTAATAGCAACAGGCTGTTCAATACTTTTTTGAGGTTTAATTTCACGAGAAAATCTTTCACCCTGTTTAAGAAATACACATTTCACAAAACAAACCAAAAAAACAAAAGGAAATTCGTTTAGTTATTTGACATTATTAAACTATTTTTAAAATACCTTCTGAGATCTATCAGATAAACGAGATTTATCATCTCTTTTTCCAGAATACTTTTCTTTCCTTGGTTCTGAAAACTTTCTTGTACGCTCATCATTTACCCTTTTTGCATTTGCTTGAAATCTTGGTGGACGCTCTGCCAAATACTTTTTACTCAAACTTTTAGGTTCTTTCTTTTGATTTAACTTTAATTTTTTGACATCGCTTATAACCTGAGTCTCATGTGTATTTTGACTTGATTGTTGCTTGCCTTCAAATGATTTATTTTTTGAAAACTCCCTTTTAATGTTAGCATTACTATTGCTTAAATCAGAAATAACTGAGACACTGTTTCCTGATAATATAGGAGCTAATTGTGGTGGCGTGATAATTGGAGATGCAGCTTCTGGGGTGGCTTGTGAATGCATTACAGTAACCTAAATTAATTTAAACAATTATTTTACAGCAATTATTAAACTTGATTTCAATAATAATAAAAAAAGTCAAATACCAGAGAAAATCTTTTTTACCTTAATAACTCCAGGTGCACTACTTGGTTTTCCGGTACCCACTGCTCTTGGATCAGGCAATAAACTGGATGTTAAAGTTAAAGGTCTTTGCCAAGCATTAGAACTCACTGAAACAGATGAAGAAATCTGTTCAGATAAAGAATTACTTTGAGATGTTCTCATTAAAGATTGCGCAGGTTCCCAAACCCCCATCATATCTTGAAGATTACTTGTAGCTGGCTGACTTACTTGAGTAACTGTAGTCGTAGGTAAACTTGGAACATGTGTAGATATAGGAATCTGTTCTCTGATCAATGTAGTAGTTTCTGAAATTTGAGTTGAAGTTTTCTTGGTAGTAACTTTTTCTTTCCTTGCCAACTTTTGGGCTTTGCTTGCTTCTTTCTTTTGTTCAAGTAAAAACTTTTGTTTTTCTTCTTCACGACATTTGTCACGCAACTTCTTCTGGTGTTTCTTTGAAATAACTTTTACAAAGCCATCATCATCTGTAGATTTTTGACTGATTGAATCAAAACATTTCATATCATCAATACAGACAACACTAGCAATGTTGCTTAAATCAAATTCCTTTCTTATGTCTCTCTTTTTTTCAACTGGTTTATTCTTTTTTGATGGTGAGTTTGCCGATATGTCTTCTAAATTTGAAACATTTTTTTTTGTTAAAAGATTTTCACCCAGCTGTCGTGAATCCATTTTATCGGCAGCAGTCTGAGGATTAGCTGTATTGCTAGAAGTGAGGTTATTCCCCAACTGCTGCCTATTGACTAAAAAAGAATCTGATTTATCTGACCTTGGTCCACTTGTACTATTGCTTCCGTTGCCTTTGTAAGAGCCACGCCCACGTCCTCTATCACGTCCATACCCTCTATCACGGTTAGATTGAGGACGCCTTTGCTCAACAACTGCTTCATTATTAGCTACTTCTACTGAATCATTGATAGATACCTCTTGAATATCTTGAGAAATATCTTTACTAACCTTTTCTTGATTCAGTTTTACTTCTGTATTGGAAGACCAACTGTTAGCAGCTACTCTTCCTCTTCCACGATTAGTTCTTCCTCTATGGCTCCCCCTTGCTCCTCTCCATCGTGAAACATCTCTATCTTCATTTTCATATTTTTGCTGAAATCTTGGTGGACGATCCTGCTCCCAAGACTTTTGATGAGATTTTTTAATTGCTTTTTTGATCTTTAAACTAGATTCTTCTTCACCAGTAATTAACTCTTCATCTTCTTGAGATAATTTAACTTTATCACTAATACTTTTTTTTGAGTGAGTAAAGCTATCTTGAGTATAACTCTGCCTACTTCGCCAATGTCCTGCTTCATGTACTTCTTTACTATCTAAATAGTTATGTGAAGAATCTGTTTTTGATTTATTGTATTTTGATGACTTTTGAGGTAATAAAATGTTGCCATTAACTTCTTTACCACTTGCGTCTTTATTTACTACATCACTATCCTTTGGTCCTAATGCAATTTTTATATCCTCTTTTTTAGTCAAATATTTCTCTACATCTTCAATATTTTCTGATTTTACATCTTTGAAAACAATAGCAGAATCTTTATTGGATATTTTATTTTCATCTTCAAGAGATGATTTGCCTGAATACTTCTTGCTTAAATCCTTGTCAAAGTCCTTTCTTTCATTTCTCCTACTTCCTGGTTTTTCTTGCTTGTGATAATCTGAGTTATATTCTTTTCTTCTATCATAGTTTCTATTGCTATAATCACGAGCTCGCCTTGAAGTCTCATTTTCAACATCTTTTTTTGCAACCAACTTGGCATTATCTAGTTCATTTGTTTTATTAACAGGTTTTTCAGATAAAGTTTCTTGGTTTGTTTCTACTGAATCAGATTGCAATTCAGTTGAAGCCAATTTAGCCTGTAATTTTTCCGAATATTTATCAATTTTTTCATCACGTTTGCTATCCACTCTATCTTTCTTAAATTTATCATACTCCCCTCTATCTTTCTTATATTTAGTGTTATACTCAGGATCACCCTTATCAAGTTTAGGTCTTTCAAGTTCTCCTCCAACTTTGTCTTTTTTATACCTATCATATTCTCCCTTGTCTTTCCTATACCTATTTTCATACTCAACTTCTCTGTCCTTTCTAACTCTAAAATATTCAACATCTCCCTTGTCTTTTTTATACCTGGTGCTTTCTATATCTCCTCTATCTTTTTTATATCTATCATGTTCTTTATCTGTTCGGTCTTTTTTGTATCTACTATATTCATTATCTTCCCTGACCTTATATCTATCATACTCTCCATCCCCTCTGTCCTTTTTGTATCTATCCTGCACACCATCACCTCTGTCTTTCTTATGCCTCTCTTGACCTCCTTCAACTTTGTCTTTCTTATATCTATCTTGTTCTCCATCGCCTTTGTCTTTCTTATATCTATCTTGTTCTCCTCTATCTTTCTTAAATTTATCTTGATCTCCTTCAACTTTGTCTTTCTTGAATCTATCTTGTTCTCCTTCAACTTTGTCTTTCTTGAATTTATCTTGTTCTCCTTCAACTTTGTCTTTCTTATACCTATCCTGTTCTCCATCGCCTCTGTCTTTCTTAGATTTATCTTGATCTCCTTCAACCTTATCTTTCTTATACCTATCCTGTTCTCCATCACCTCTGTCTTTCTTAGATTTATCTTGATCTCCTTCAACTTTGTCTTTTTTATATCTATCTTGATCTCCAACTCTATCTCTTTTATACCTATCATATTCTCCTCTGTCTCTCTTTGCAACATCATAATCTTTCTTAACATAATCACGTCCATTATATCTTGAATAATCTCGCTTTCCTTCATGTCTAGATTCATATTCCTTCAGTGAACTTTCTTTCTCTTCGGTTAAATTACCTTTATGAGCATTTTCACTTCTGTTTCTATAATTCTCCCTCGGATGATCCAGATAACTTTCGTTTTGGCTACTAAACTCGGTTTTTTTGTGATCTCTATCATATCTATTGTATCTTCTTTTAGAATCATCGTCAAATTTACTTCTACGATCATTTTGATACTTGTCAGATTTTGAAAAAGGTTTATTTTGATAAGTGTCACTCCGAAATTTATTTTCTGTAGGAGAAGATCGTTCTTGTGCTTTAATGTTTTCTATAGTACTTTCACATTTATCAAGTAATTTACTTTCAATAGCTTTTTTACTAAGTTCTTCTTCTTCTTTTTGTATTTCAATTAACGTCTTTTTAACACCACTAGACTGATTTGCCTCTTGAGATACAACTTTATTCCAAGCAGGAGCTCTAGTTGGTTCTCTTTCTAATAATTCTGTAGTAGGTAAAACATCGCCTTTTTCTTTCATAAGCTTTTTTTTAACATGACCTTTTGTTAACTTTAAATCAGCGAATCTTTCAGAGTCAAATCTAACATCAATGTTTTTATCTAGAGCACTTTCTGTTTTAATTTGATCCTGGTTTTTAATTTCAGCTTTAAAATCAGTTAATTCTTTTAAACCTCTTTTCTCTTTATCAGAATTTTTTTGAACCACATCATTATTATATACTGTTGAAGAAACGGCAGCTTTCTGAGATTTATCTATAACTTCAGGTAAAGTTTTTTGATCTGATTTTAAAACTTCTTGATTTAATGAACTGACAGTTTGTTTTTCATCTTGTGATATTTTGTCAGAATCAATTAATTCAAAAGAATCAATTTTCTTGACTATATTTTCTTTACAAGATTCGTCATCTGATTTATAACTTTCTTTTCTTTTCATTATACGAAAATGAGAATCGTTTGTATCATTTGTATTACCTACAAATAAAAAAAATAAATAAAAGACAAGAAAAAAATTAACAAAAATATGTTTAAAAAAAACATTTTATAAAAATAGTACCATCAGAATTTAAAGTAGAAATAGTCTTTTGGGCAGAAATTTGTCGTTGGAAACGTGGTGGTATATCACGTATGGGCCTTGATGAATCACTTGTCTCACTATCACTTCTTTTGTGCATTCCTACATTAACAACATCGTCTGCTTCATTAGAAAAAACTTTCTTACCATCAACCTCTGTATTTTTTTTTTCTGCTTCTCGCTTCTTAATATCTTCTTCTATTTTACGTAACTTAGCCTTTCTATCAGCCTCCTTTAGATCATCAGGCTTGGCTGTTGGAGTTTCTGTTAAAGGTTCAGCTTCTTTTGAAATATTTTCAGTATTTCTATCAGATTGTTCAGATGGAGTTGGCATTACTACTGGGTAAGGGTATTGAGGAATAAAAAAGTATGGCATTGGTGTACGTGGATCAAAGCTATAAGGCATTCTAGACCAATGTTGATGGTTATATGGTTGCATATGTACATGAGCTGGAAAATTTTGATTTTCTGACCAAGCCTCAGGCGGAGATTTAACTGATTTTTCTTTCTAAATAAATACTATTAAATTTAAATAATTCTGTAATATTAATAAATATTAAATGGCAAAAAAAATAGCTGTTATAAGTGGGGCATTGGAAACAAAAATTAAATTTATTGAAATTCATTGGAAAATGCATAAAGTTTTTTTATAATTTAAACTTTTTGCAATTTTTACTAAGTAACATACAAAGATAAATATTTTTAAAAAAATATGAAAACATTCTCAAAAATCTAGACTTAATAGTGGACAAGTGCACATTTTCTGTCAGTATCACTTTTTGCATATAAATTTTTTTTTTTGCTCAAAAGATATTTTAAATGGGTAAAAGGAGTATATGAGTATAAGTAAATATATATGCAATACTGGTCTAGACTAGGGTAAAACGCTTGGCTCACAACTAAGAGGTTTAAATGCACACCTCAACAACACCTCAAAAAGAACTGGGCTCAACCTGTTGACTATGCAGCGGGTTTGTTTTGCAAAATTCAGATTTTAGAGTTGAGAGAAATGCAAACAAAATAAAAATAAAAAGTAACTTCTACATTAACAGCCCTTCTAGAGCCTTCAGGAGGTGAATTTAACTAAAGATATTTATATTTATTTTTACACACACACATAAAGAGTCTGTATTAAAGATGGTGTTTTATCTAACCATCTAAGAAATGTTGGCAATCCGTTTCCTAAATTGGAATACTTAGATTCCTTAGTTGAAAAAGTTGCTTCTTTTGAAAATATATCCAGTAAAATAAACAGAAATCAATTTAAAACTACTTCAATCTTTGCAGTGATAAATTAATAAATTCATTCAAAACTTAAAATAGGATCAAAAATGATTTAAAAAAAAAAAAAAGTCAAAAAAGCTTTAAAGTGATAGTATACAAGGCATTTTTGTTAAAATCTCTCAAAGCAAAGAAAATAGAAGATTTTACAAGAAAAATGCAAAATACAGATATAGACCAGGGTGTGGAGTTGCAACATTTTTAGCGGAGTTGCTAAACAAAATCGCGACTCCGACTTCAATAGTAAAACTTCTCGGTATTGCACAAGCATTTAACAACTGGAGTCGGAGTCGTTACTTTTTTTTTACGACTCCATACCCTTGATATAGACATTTTATTTTCAAAATGAATGCAAATATTCCAATGAAGACGCAGTTTTAATTTAGGCAAAAAAGTCATTTTTTTTTTTGTTCAAAAATCCTATAGGATTTTGGTTAGGGAAACCCTGGTCAAATATAAACTTGGGTTGTTTACTACCTAGATATGGTAACAGTATTCTACACAAACAAGAGATTTATTAAAGAAAGCAATTTTTTTCTTAGTTTTAATTTGACAAATGTACAATGAGTTTAACTGGTACAAATGATTTTAAATTTATTAATAATAATTAATAGTAATAAAATAAGAAGTTATATATGAAATGTTTAATTTTAAAAATTTCAAAAAAACTGTTCAAGTTATTTTATCACAATTTGTTAGCATTAAAGCATAAAAATACATTTAGGTTTTAGAAAGAAAATTATATTTTTTGTGAAATCACAACAAATTATTGTAACATTGGAACGTTTCAAGATTCAATAAAGTTCGAAGTTTGAAATTTGAACCAAATGCAATTTATTATATCTCAATTTGTTACCATACAGAGCATTAAAAAATGCATGCAGGTCTTTGAAAGAGAACTAGATTTTTTTATGAAATCAAAACAAAATATTTTAACACTGGAACTTTTCAATATTCAATTAAATTTAAAGTTTGAAATTTGATCCAAATGCAATTTGATATTTCTCAATTTGTTACCATACAGAGCATAAAAAATGCATGCAGGTCTTTGAAAGAGAATTAAATTGAATAAGCTAAGAATTCTAATCAATAAACTTTATTGTAAAAATATAACTGAATTTGTTGAACTTTTAATAAAAATTGATTTATTTTAGTTAATAAATCTTGTAACAATAATTTACTGCATAGTAAAATTATTTGATTTTACAAATTAATTTGAATAAAAGTCACATTAATTAAAAATAAAATGAATTAATTACCTTATGCAAAACTTGTTTTTATAAATTTTTGTTTTATTTGTTTACTAACAAGCTCCTTATGCTTACATGATACGTTACTGATGCATAATTATGTTTTAAATTTTGTTTCCCAGTAGCCCATGCAAAGATTTATGCTTATTATATTTTGCATTGTAATAGTTAATATATAATATATGCATAATATTTATCTTAATATGTATTATAATTAAATCTTAATAAAAACTATATTTATATTTAATTATTTTTTTCAATACTTAAGTCAAAAGATGTAGCATTCAAAAAGAAGATGAAATGATGCAAAAAAGTCAAAAATACTTTTTAATTTTATCTTATTTACAACTCTCTTTAAGCCGAGTGTTTGACCACTAATCTGCTATTGCATCAATAACTGAGTGTTCTACTACTAATCTTAAAATAAAATTTTCTGTTTATCAAAACTTTTTGATGTTTCTTAATTAATTTGAGTATGCTGAGTCTGAATATGACATTGGATTTTTTATTGCATCAATCTTTTGGTCGTAAAACCAAAAAATCAATTAAACATATAATTAATATAAATCGTTTCGCATTAGATTCTACTTTAGTCAATATAAAACATTTACTAATTCAAAAGTGTTATGTTATGTTACAAAACTTCATGTTACATCATGTTTCTTACATATATTACATAATGTTACATTATATTGTATTGTAACAGTCTCTCACAATCTCAAAAAACACTAAAAGTGAACAGTAGAACGAGGTTTTCTTTTATGAAGTTTCTCATCATCGCGTATCAAACACCAGATGTAGTCACCCATCATAGCTGCATCCCATATGCCCTGGTATCTTTTCTCCATTGCAAGAATATCCTGATGGAAACGTTCCCCGTGCTCTTCACTCACATCACCCAAATTTGGTCTGAAAAATTCCAAGTGTGAATGCAGGTAATGCAGCTTTATTGACATTCTACATTTCATATCTGCGTACCGTACAATTAAGTTTTCCACTATCTCTTTGTAGTTATCACTCTTATTGTTGCCTAAAAAGCTATGAACAACATGTCTAAATGCAGTCCATACTTCTTTTTCAACAGCAGACATTTTGTCCTCAAGCTCCTTACATGCCAACATAACTTTAATCTGTAGACCAACGAATATACCTGCTGAAATTTTTGCATTTGACACCTTTGGAAACATCTGCCGAATATGCTGGAATGCTGCACTATCTGGGTTTAATGCTTTTACAAATTGTTTGATAAGACCAAGTTTAATGTGAAGGGGTGGTAGTAAGATCTTTTTAACAGGTATCAGATATTGATTAATAACATTGTGCGAACCAGGCTGTAAATGTTCTCTCACTGGCCACTCACGTCTTGTGAAGTGCTGGTTTGCAGCCCTGCTATCCCATAAACAAAGAAAACACGAGTACTTTGTGTATCCTCCTTGCAGACCGAGAAGAAATGCTAGCATCTTAAAGTCTCCACATACATCCCACTTGTAACTGTTGTAGTTGATTTTCTCAAGCAACAACTTCACGTTCTTATAGTCTTCCTTTAGATGAACGGAATGAGCTACTGGAATCGAAGGTAATCGGTTTCCGTTATGGAGCAAAACTGCCTTTAGACTTCTTGTTGAGCTGTCAATGAATAATCTCCACTCTTCAGGATTGTGAACAATGCCAATGTCATTGAAAAGACCACGAACTTCATGACAATAGCACAGTGATTCTGATACTACATAAAAGTATGCGAATGTTTCATGTCTTTTTCGGTATTTCGAGGTTCTGCAGCTTGGATCTAATAAATTCCATTCTTTCAAACGTGATGTCAGAAGTTCTGCATTTGATTTAGTGAGACCTAAATCTTGTACTAAGTCATCAAGTTCTTGTTGTTTAGGGAAATGAGGTAAATCATTCGGTTCCCTGAAATCACAGTCATCATTGAGTTCATCCGGTGAGTCTACTTCAGAATGATATGCAGCTGCTTCTTCGGATTGAGGTGGAGTAGGAACAGGCAATTCATCACTGTGTGGAACTGGTCCAATAGAAGATGGTATACTTGGATAAACTAGAGTCAGCCTATCTTTCGGTTTTTTATACTTTGAAATGCCAACAATGCAGAAAAAGCAGTCATCATGATGGTTCGTCGGTTCTCTCCATATTCTCGGAATCGCAAAGGGCATTGACTTTCGGATTCCATGCAGCCATCCTTCCAGAGTTGATCTGCAGCTACCACAACTGTAGTGTGGTGCCCACGATTTGTCCTGATCTCCCATAGCCATGCCAAAATAAGCATGATATGCAGTAAAGAATTTTGTACCACTGACAATCTTATGTTTAGCTTGTGTTGGACTAATATAGTAACCACAAACATAACAGAATGAGTCAGGACAAAGCTTGCAGGATCTACTAGACATATTCACTACTTCATGTAACAGTTGTAATTAGTTAAACTGAAAATAAACACACGAATATAGTTAAAATCAGCATATATATATATATATAACCTTTTAATTGCATTACACATATACGAAAACTCCGAAATATACTTTATGCTTTTTCTCAGGAAATCTTGATGATAGAGAAAAACCAATGGTACCACTGAAATCAGCATACAAAAATTATGTAAGAAACATTAAAAAATTAACATAAACACAAATGTTGTTACATGGTGGAATGCGAGAACCATACCAAAATAATTTGAAGTGTATACAAAATTAATATGCAGACTAAACCAACCAAATATGTACTATTATATTCAGATAGCTACAAAACAGTAAAGGAATTTAAAAAAAAAAAAGTTCAAATGTTCAAGCAAATGACATTAAAAAGGAATTTAAACGACTTTTAATGGTGATTACTTGAAGCCAAAAACATAAATAAATTAAAATGTATTCTGAAAAAAAAAGTTTTTATATCAAGGATATTTACAAATAGCAAAATAATAAAATGATATTAATATATAAATATAATATATAAATATAAATAATATAAAAATGATATTAATAATAAAATGATATTAATATATAACGATAAAAATTGTGATAAAATAAATAATAAAAATCATAACAACAACAATAATGATAGCGATAAATGAATACTAATAAAATTATTTAAATTTAAAAAATATTTAATTTAAAAAGATATTTAAAATAAACAATTCCATTTCAGTTCATAGTTTATGAACTGAACTAATAAATTTAAAATTAAAAAGTTTATTTTCCACTTTTAAGTACAAAAAAGATTATATTCTTGAGCAAATATTTTTGCTATATGTTATTTTCTACTTTTTAGTCTTTACAAAGAGTTACAATGTATTAATATTAAACAAAACTTAAAAAAAATAATAAGTTTTTTTAAAAGATTTGAAAAAAAAAAAAAAAAAAAAAATACAAACCCACAAGCAATCTTAGCAAATTTTAAAAATGAAAAGATGTATTTATAAAAACAAAAAAAGTATAATTTAAAAAAATAACAAACCCTCAATGCAATATTAGCGGATTTTTAAAATAAAAAGATTTATTAATGAATGAAGATTACTGCTAAAAAACAAACCTACAAGCAATTTAGAAACTAATTCCTGTATAAAAAGTTAGTTTTATTTTGTCTTTAGGACAAGAAGAGTTCATATCAAGCTAAAGAAAAGATATTTTAAGCTAATAATCCCATCAACAACCCCATAGGCTTCCAGATCCTAATTTTGAAGATATATGCACAAAATCTTAATTTAATCTTTTAAAGAAGTATTGTAGTCAAGTGGACAATGCGTTTTGTTCTGATGCCAAACTTTAGAAGATCAAAATGCAGTCATGTTGTATTTTTTTTAAATTTGTTTTAATAGGCGCATACATCTGCAGTACGCATGTTTTAATAAGTGTATTAAATTTTTGAATCAGGTTCAGGTAAGCTCATTCAAAAAGCTCTCAAAGAGGCTCAAAAATATACTTAAGTATAACTTTAACGTTTTTTTTAATAATTTTTGAAAATATGTGTTATTTACAAACATTTTCTAAAAATTTTGAAAATAAAAAATAAATAAAATAAAAAAAATAAAAACAATGTAATATAAAAATAATAAAAACACATATATATCTATTAAAAAACTATATACAAATATTATCAATAAAATCAAAGCTATGAACTTCATTCTCATTTTCCTTGGACCAATAAAGGTGTCATCAGGAAAAATCTACTTTGAATTGATAAGTGAACCATTTGAGGCATCAGAAGTAGTTAAGCATCCAGTCATCTCCCAGCATTTTTTTCTCTGCTTATCATACTTAAAAGAACTTAAAGTTTTCCACGCTTCCCCTCCCTAATCTGTAATAAAAATTTGCCTTTTTATTGCAGTGTAAAGCATTTCATTATTAAACCATCAACCTAAATGATTATCTGTATCCAGCAATTTTTAGTATTCAATAGCAACAAGCTTTTCCAGAATGGCATTGTATCCTGCATTAACCGGTTGCTCAAGGTAAGTGACATTTGGTAGACTGTACCAAAGGAATCATTTAGCATCAGCCACAGCATCTGATCATTTAAATTATCCAACAAATAAATTGATAAACGAAAGGAGTGTTTTATCACATCAGCGCTTACAAACCTTTTGGTCTAAACAAAACAGTTGCTCTCCTGGTTGAAACATAATTTACAGAGAACACTGCCTTTCTTTTGATCCTGAGCCCAATTGCAAGTTTCATATATTTTATGCCACACTTGACCCTTAGAAACATATTCACACATTGGTTTACTATAGACAACAAAGGGTAGTGGACTCTAGTCAAAATTGAGCTTTTTTGATGGTTGGTAGCATCAATATTTGCTGTCATAACTTGGATCTTGAAAACCTGTTTTGATACACTTTTCTCTATACGCCACATGCCAGTTAAATAATGATTTTATTTTGTTCTTATATTTTCTTTTGTTACTTTTGTTACAGTTAAGTAATGATTGTTTTATTTTGTTCTTATATTTTCGTTTTTTTACTTTGTTTCGATTGCATTTTTAAATCTTTTTTTAAATTACAAATAAAGTAATTATGCAATGCTAAATTTATTTAAAAGACACAAGTGAGAGAAAAAGTTCTTTTATGCAGCCATTTTTAATTAAAATTAATGTGGTATTGTGTTTTTTAAATTTAACTTTAATTTAAAGCTTTGCGAGGAAACCTTTTGATTTTTTTTTTTTAAATTAGTGAAATTGAGAATAGCGTAATTGATGGATAATTCATAGTGGAAAAACTGCATGCAAAAAAAAAAAAAAAAAAAAAAAAAAAAAGTACACTAGAAACTGAAAATTTTTAATATTGATATTGGAGTCATGTTTTACAAAAATAATGGTGATTGGAGCCTGGAAACAAGTTCAACCTAAAGATTTGGGTCACTGCTTCCATAAATAAGAGTAAATAAAAAAAAAAATCATTTTTTTTCATATCTAAACTAATTAAAAATAATCGTAGAATTTAAGATTTCTTCAATAATTTTTTGTTTAAATCTATTTTAATCTATTATCAACAATTTGTTGTTAAAAAGCTAAAAACATTCCAAAAAATAACTTTAAATGCTCACAATTTTAAAACAAAATTTTTTTTCTGGATGAAATTAAAAATTTGGCAATGAATTTTATTTTTTGTTAATATAAAATCAGGGTGGGTAGTAGTGTGATGGTGGTGGTAGCAAGAGGGAAGGAGGAAAGGGTGCAATTGTAAGGGGGTATTACACAGGGAAGAGTACTTAGCTTTAAACACTAATCACTTTTGTACCCTAAAAAAAACTCTAGATTAAAAAAATAAAACTATTCTTTTTTAAAGATTTAAGTGATATTTTACGTATTAAATTTATAATAACCCCTAAATATTTTACTTTTACTAACTAACTTTACACAATATGTGTACTTAAGATGATATTTAAAACCCAAGTTTACAGAAACCTTGAAATTTTTTGATTTTTATTTCATGGCCTTGTTTCCAAGTTAATCCTAAACAACTAACACTTATCTATTGTATTACAGAGAGAAGAGAATACCTTTTACTTCTCTTATTTAAAAGAAAATTCTTTTAAATGTCTCTGTATTTTTCTTTACATCTATATACCTTCATCATAACCAAACTTTTTTTTTAACTTTTTCTTGGTTAAATCGCAACAATCAAAGATATTTAAACAAATTTTAAAAAATATAGCTCCTTTATCTTAGACAACACTCAAAATTTACTCACTTGAAATAATTTATTTTCCGACAACTTATCCCACCAGCCCTATTTTATTTCTACAGTAAGCCATTACTTTTTTGCCCTTATCAAACCTAATAGATCATTAAAGTCTTCATTTAAAATAGCGTCATCTTTAATGTGTTTGTTTCTCATATTTTTTAAAAATGATTTGCAACCTTTTTGGCTTCTAAAAATACTTTGTTATTACCATCTTTCTAAGATCACATGCATTTGTTCACTTCCCTTGAAGCAGTCATTGGATCATTAAACAAAGGTTTAGACGAAATTTTCGGTCTTTGTTATTCAATCTTTTTGAATTATAATTTAAATAAACTTTTGGTTTAATTCAATTACCTAAATTTTTCTTACCTTTACCAAGTTGCTTCATTAGGTATACTCTTCTCTCTGCAATACAATAGATGAGTGCTAATCCTGGTCCAACAATATTTAAACATCATTTACAAACTTTAAATGGTCCAGAAAAGGAACAATTTCAGAGTTAAATTTTGGTCTTCCTCTCATTTCTTAACTTAATCACCATGTTAAATGACTCCTAGCAATAAGGCACATTGAATATTGCCAAAACTGCTGATTTCTGGTAAGAACGATTTTTTTAATGTTAGAAAAATAAAAAGATTTGTACAGAAATTTTATTGGGAAAATGGCTACCATCTTAGTTTATTTTATCAATGAAATAAAAAAGTAAAGCATCAAATGGCTACTATAAATTTTGTAAAATATCACTCAAATCCAAAAATATCTAAATGGTAACTTTAACAAAAATACCAGTTTTTTTTTAAAAGTAGACAAGTGATCGGAAAATTAAAGGGTACAACAACAGCAGTTTTTGAACATAAATATCTTTACCTAGTGTAACACTCCTTATAATCCTCCTCGCCCACAAATTTATATTAACAAAAATTAAAAATCATCACAAGATTTCTGATTTCACAAAAAAAAAAAAAAAAAAATTTAGTTTAAAAGCTGTGAGGATTTAAACTTATCTTTTGGGGTAAATGGTTGAATAATAGACTTTAATTGTCTATAACTATTTAGCAACATATGATTTATTAATAAAATTTTAAATCTTGCAATTAATTTCATTTAGTTTAAAATATTATGAAAAAATAATAATTTCATTTAATACAGTCCCTTTTAGTGAGTCCAAATGCTGCTAGTTCTATGTAAAATATGCTTATTTTTAGAGTATGGTGGGAACAGCAAGAAATGCCCACCTTACTCAGGGTGAAGGGGACAGTATATCCCCTCCCCTATGCATACACCCTTTTATTTTGGCAAACTAAAACTTTTAGTCAGAAAAATAACCTTTCTAATAACTAGCTGGTAAGTTATAATGAGACAGTAGTCTTTTTTTTTTTGTTATTGAAAAAATTTTGTCATTTACTCAAAAACATATAGTTATCAGTACTAGAAAACAGGTATAAATTAAAAAAAAAACATTACTTAGAAATATTTTTTAGAATCACTCCCCGCATACCTTTTCATACAATTTGAAAACCTCCTGATGAGCATGCGTAAATTATGGACAAGCCCTTATCAAATAATTAAATATTATTCAAAGTAACATTAAAAAAGATTATATTACCTTGCTATCATCAATATCCGACTTTTGAATATTTTCTTTTTTCTTTTTAGACACATCCTCATCAGAATCGTCAGATTCATCAAACTTAAGTTTCGCATTGTAGTCAACTTCTTCTTGTGCCCCAGCCCAGCCATTATCATCTGAATCCTTATTTACAAAACTTTGATCAGTTTGCGGATTGACACCCGAAACAGTTTTTGGCATCCTGCAATTAATTATAAGTATTAAATATTGAGCTTTTACAGATTAAATTTACTTGATGTTTATGATAAAAAATGACAAGTTATTTCTAACTTCTTTTCAAGGTTAAAAAATTTATAAACAAAAAAATTATTTAAGAAATAAATTAACAAATTAATAAAAAATAATATTAACAATAAATTAATAAATTTTTTGCTATAACCTATTATTTATGTAAAAGGTAAAAGAGCAACAATGAAAAAAAATTTTCACCATAGATTTGGATTTTTTTTTTTTTTTTACTTAACTAGGTTATTACTAATGCTTTAAAAGAGTTATATTTTAGTCATATTTTAACAATATTTTAACTTAAGAACTGGAATAATGGATATTTTAACTTAGGAACTTGGTTTCGGATTTATTTTACATTAATGGGCAACAATATGCTATGTTGTCATCTATTTATTTGATAATAAATTATCTGTTAATGACAAAATTTATAAATATATACAAGTCAATAGAGTACCAGGTCAATACAATTTTTTTTGTTTAAATAAACCCACTTTTTTTTTTCAACATCTTCACTTCCAAAAAATTTGAGTACCAGTAAGTACCAGAAGGAGAACCATTGAGACTTAGTAGAGAGATAAAATAAAAATAAATTTTTTTTTAAAAAAATTTATTTTTAGAACTTATTTATATTTGGAACTTAGAGAAATATTTATATTTGGGACTTAGACAAATATAAGTAACCGTGCAGCAATTTTTGTAAATCTTAGTACATTTACTTTTTAGTTTATCATCTTTGGAAAATGCTTAACTTTATGTCTGACTAAACCCAAAATATAGAATATCAATGATTAAACAAAAACAATAACTTTATATTAAAATTATTAAAACCATTACCGATATAAGCTCATTGGAATTTTCCCACCAGGACCATATGACATATACATTGGATGTAAAGGATAGTTATGCATATCTCCAGGATACATAGGCTAAAAATAAAATAAAACTTTATATCCTAAATCATTTAAACTATATATGCATATATAAACAGTGCTTGAAGTCAAGAAAAGTAACCTGATGGTATTTGGTAAATTAAAAATACCATCCCACCTAATCATTGTTATATTTAATGAGTTTTAAAAAAGGTGATGGTTTATACTTAAAAAAAGGTGACAGGATGGCATCCCACCCCACTTCAAGCACTGCATATGTATGTTTGTATGTGTGTGTGTGTGTCTATATATATATATATATATATATATATATATATATATATATATATATATATATATATATATATATATATATATATATATATATATATATATATATATATATATATATATATACACATTTTTTTGTAAAAAAAATGTAGCCATAAGAAACTTTTATAGAGAACAAAAAGTACATACATAAACTATCAAATAGCCTGACTTGCAAGGGAGTGCTGCTACATACTATAGGTTTGGTTAGGCCAGGTATCAAGGTCAGGCTTAGGGTTATGGCAAGGTTTAAATTTGGTTATATTATTCTAATTATTTGTTTTTGTAAATATATATATATATATATATATATATATATATATATATATATATATATATATATATATATATATATATATATATATATATATATATATATATATATATATATATATATATATATATATGTATATATATATGTATATGTATGTATATATATGTATATATATATATATATATATACACACACACACACACACACACTCTTGTATGGTTGTTTTTAATTTTACCATCAGTTTTAGGTTGTTTTTAAAAAAAAATTATTTTGAAGACCGGAAGTTATTTTTTTAATTATTATTTGATAGACTGTCTGCCCTAACCAAACCCTAAGTTGATGTGGTGGCACTTCCTTGTAGCAGTAGGATATAAGATAGTTGATGTAGCAGCACTTCCTTGTAGCAGCAGGCTAAGATAGCCAGCGTAGCAACACTCTGCCCTTGTTTTACAGTAAAATAATTCAAATTAAAAAAATTCAGAATGTTTTTATTTTTAAATAATAAAATAAAAACATTCAGAATGTTTTTAAAAACATTCAAGTCTTTTAATTTCTCGGTGCAGTTAAGGCGATTTACAAATTATTTGCATACTTTTATTTGGAATTAGTATGATTTTATCAGCGTATGTCCCAATAAAAACAATGAATGACGTTATATGAATTTAGTTAAAATCTTTTGAAAAAGTTCCTAAATTTACTACTGATCCTAGTTCTGACGTATATCAACTATATACAGTATCTGACAAAACAAGTGCAACCAAATAATGCTAATTTAGTTTCTTTATATAAAAGTGCTGCATTTTTTCAATTTAGAGAAATAACTTTGTAACTGTTTAGAGACAACGTTCTTCAAGATTTATTCATCACAAAGTTTATTATTTGTACCCGAAAATTAATAAATCAATCAAAAGTATTAAAAAAAGTTGATTTCCTTCTGGACAAAATAAGTGCAACTCCACAAAATGTTGACCAAGCTGTATTTTGCTATCAATATTTCGTGACAAATCCTTTGTTGTCGATCACAGCCTTGCATCTTCGAGGCACAGATTCGATCAGGTTATGAATGAAACTTTGTGGAACTGCTGCGCAGGCCTTTTGGATTTGTTCAAACAGTTGATTCTTATTACAAAACACCTTCACAATTCTGCGGTTGACGATCTCCCACAGGTTCTTGATAGGGTTGAGATCCGGAGATTGAGACAATCCATCACAGATAGGTGGTTGTCTCAAAACCACTGCTTGACTACTTTTGCAGTGTGTTTCGGATTGATGTCTTGCTGAAAAACCCATTTTATTGGCATATTCCATTCAGCATGAGGTAACATAACATCTTTCAGGATATTTTTACACATGAAACGGTCCATTATTCCATTGATTTGATGTATTGGACCTAGACCAATAGCAGAAAAACACCTTCAGACCATTACATTGCCTCCACCATGCTTCACGGTCTTATGGCAGTAACGTAAAACGAGGCGTTTTCCGCCCATTTATATTTTAAGATACCGCAAAATTTATCATTTAAATTTTTTTTGTCTTTTCATAATTCACAGACCTGACCATTTAACGGAAATGGCGTAGTCAACAAAATATCATACAGACGCTATAATATTTTAATAAGTGCCTTAACTACACCGAGTTGCTATTTTGTGTTTTTTTTTTTTTAAATTTAATTGGTTTCTTTAATTAAATTAATGCGTTTTGTTATCATCTAACCTTAATTTTGTCAGATAGATAAGCTACGAGCTGTTTTTTATACAAACTGCATATTTAACACCTCTACTATAGTGTGTGTGTGTGTGTGTATGTGTGTGTAACTTTAAATGTATTCTAAGAAATAGAGTACTTAATGTTCTTAAAAGAACAAAGCAATAATAAATTAGTAAAAAATCACTTGTTAAACTTTTTTCATTATACAGTGTAAAAGTTAAAGAAAAGATTCTTAAACATTCTCCGCAGTGACATAACAAAAAAAAAAATGTAATCAAGCTTTTTCAAAAAGCTCTTGAGGTTCCACGCCTTGATCATCCACATTTAAAGTAATTGTTTTAGACTGACCACGACAGTTCACATTTTTTAACTTATAAAGTGTTTCAATAATTCCTGGCAAAAAAGCTAAACTTACTAAGAAAAAAAAAACAAAAACAATTCTTAAATATTCTTAACAAAATTGTAACGAAATATCAAGTTTAATTAAATAAATAAAAAGTTATTAAAAAAAAAAGATTTTCTTATAAAATTTTTATACAAATTTATTCTTTTTTTAAGAGTCGATGAAAAAAAAATCTTTTATAACGATTTAACAAAAATTGAAAGTTTTGATATGCAATTTATTCACGATTTTTATCACTCCATATAATTAACAAACTAATTTGCTATGTACAAGAAACTTTGTTAATTTTTTTTTCTTACATTTATTCGTTTATTACGTTTATTTGTTTTTATATCTTTTCGCTTTTGAAAAATTTTTCTTGCTATATTTGACGCTTTTTCTCAATACTTATATAATAGGAAAATAAGAAAATAAATTGTTATTTATTTGTAATAAACATTTGATTAATAAATTTTGTTAATGACGGAATAAGTTAAATAAGAATAACTTGAATAAAAGTATTTACACTAATACAAGTTACTAGAGATAACAAACATAACGATTTCTGTTTAAAAAAATGTATTTTAAAACTCAAACAAAAGTTTTAAATAAGCTCTTAATTAATTTCGTTATGAAAGTTTAATAAATTAACAATGCACTAGCTCACAAAATTTTGCTGCAACGTTTCATTTTTTTACATAAAAAACTTGTTAAAAAAAAAATTAAATTTTTCACAAATAAATAGCAATTAGTTTTCTCGCCTTTCTGTCCATTGATAAAAACAGTTAAGTTTAGCAAAAACGCAAATAAAACGCAATATAAAAAGTATTTCAAATAGCGCAATATAAAAAGTATTTCTTTTATATACTAACTGAAAAAAGTAGCAAAAAAAAATTGTAAATCAAAAATTATTTTTATTTTTGTTACATTTTTATCTACTTATTTCCTAGACTTGTATGCAGTGGAAAATAACTAACGCTCTAAAAACAAGACTACAAAAACAGTAAATAGTTAGGTATATTATTTTTTTGACGAAAATTTTATTTTTTTTTATCAATAGTTTTTTAGATTATTTTATTTAGGTTATTTTATTTAGATTTTCTATTTCGTGAAGTCTTCGGTTGTTTTCTTTGAGTATTACTGATTTATTTTCTAGTTTTTTATAGCTTTATTTTGACACATCTTAAAACACTTACTATATAAAAATGTTGTGTCTGAAAAAATTATTTTAGGCGTAGACATACAAGGCGTGCAACCGCTAACCAGGAAGACTTGTGTTATTGTTGAAATAATTTTTTTATTCAAAGATATTTATAATAAAAATACATACTTAAATAGCTATTAAACAATATATATATATATATATATATATATATATATATATATATATATATATATATATATATATATATATATATATATATATATATATATATATATATAGCCTTGGCATGAAGAAAATTGTCTAGTGCGACGTTTCGCACTCGTAAAACTCAAATATTTTTAGCGAGCACGAGATTATGTGCGCTCGTTATTAAGTTATCGAGAGCGATTTTTTTTTTGTATATGGGTGTTCCACACAATTTTATTAATTTTTTAATTTGTTATACAGCATTCTTTAGACGATAAATATTTTCAAATTATTATCAGCGCACTGCCTGACAAAACGTTTAAAATTCTTTCGACCTCCTAAATACTTATTTATTATTTGATCGCAGTTCTTAATGATCTTGCTTTAAAGAATAAATTTATCTTTTATAAATTTCCTTTGTTATTGTCTTTATCTTTAACTTAATACTATTCTCATTTTTCTTTTATTATTACATTAAATTTATTTGAAAGAAGTTCATAAGCTTTCATTTTTTTAATTGTTTCATTCATTTAATTAAAATATAAATTCATGTTTTTGCATCATTAACAACGATTTTTTTTTAATTAAACATGTTTAATGTTTTTTTTTTGTTGCTAACTGAAGAACTAATAGAACTAATAGAACTTTTATAACTTTTTTAGCAAACATTTTCGCAAACTTAAACTTTTCTTTTTCTCAAATAAATTTATGATTTTAATTAAGTTATAATATATTTATAACTTAATTAAAATCATAATTAGGTGTTATTTCTAAATGCTAAGCATTTAAAATGATTTTTTAATACTTTATGTTTAAAACGTGCATTTTAGCTTTGGGGTAACATTGATAGGATTGTCTAAATTACCCATTGGTCTGTCAAAGTTTACTTATAATGTGTGATTATTGTCATTACGCTTTAAGTGTAAATAAATAAATGATTGATTTGTTTTTTAGAGTATGATCACATGATATCATGCCTTGCAATAACAACAAAAACCAAGTTCAACATACAGATTGTATGATCGGGAAGCCACAAAGGAAGCCATTAATGATGTGAGTGAAAACAATGTCAGCATAAGTAAAGCAGCATTCAAGCACAATATCAATCGAACAACGTTAATTATTCATCTCAAGAAAGTGCATTGTAAACAAGTTGGATGTCCAACACTTTTGACAAGAGAAAAAACATTGATTGTTCATACAATTCAAAAGCTTAGAGACTGGGGGCTTTGGGATAGATAGTTGCAAGTATTGTGCAAGATTACATAAACAGTAGTGGCAGAGCCAATACCTTTGGGAATGGCAAGTCTGGGATCAATTGGATGCATGGCTTTAAGAAGAGACCTGTCTGATTGGTCATTTCTTCCTGCTAACCATGTATATGCATGCAATCTTAACATAGTTAATGACTTTTTTAAAAAACAAGACATTAAGAAATTCATCTATAGAATAAATCACATAATATGTTTAATATAGAAGAAACAGAGTTTCAAACCAACATGAGCAAGCAGAAAATTTTCTGCGAATTAAAAAAACAATGTTCAGTGCATGTATGCTGTTCTGGAACTAGTCAATTTTTATCACCATACATTGTTTATATAGGTCTTCATTTTTACAGCACCTAATGCAATGGCAGCCTAGACAATTCACGTTACAACTGTTCTACTTCAGAATGGATGGAATCCCCCAATTCATTGATTGCTTTGAAAAGATATTTATTGCTGCAACAAACCAATTTGAAGGATCGAAGGTTTTAATATTTGACAGACACAATTCTCACACATCTAAAACTGTTGTAGACTTAGCTATTGCAAAAAACATTGAGCTACTTTGTTTACCTGCCCATTTTACAATACTTTACATCCTTTAGTAGGTGTTTACAAAACAGTCAAAGTATCAGAAAAACCGTTTGAAAACCTTTTATGATACTTTTATGATAACATGATGCAAAAATGTAGATAACAGATCATTTAGGTCTTATTTTAAAAATCCAAAAAATAATTTCCCTTATTTTCCTTATAATTTTGCTTTTAGATTTTAGCTTGAGTTGTTTCTAATTTTTTTTCTCTTTAGTTTAAAGAAACTAAAAAGAAATTAGCTCATACCAGAGAAAACAGAGAAGCTCGTCTTCTCTGTTTTCTCTGGTATTTTGAGTATGTAAAATAAATGCGATTTTCCAGACTTGATATTTCAAGCGCGTTTAATTCATAGGAGTTTTAGTGCATGACGTCTTAGATTTTCTTGTTTTGTTTGTTTAAAACACCGATTGTTATTTTTTACATCAATTTGAAAATTTCTATTGATAGGGGTCAGGGAATTCTTTCATATATCAAATTACTTTAAAGGGACTACCAAGACTCGAGACATGTTGTGTTCATATTAAATATAATGTCATAAAAAAATGTTTGAGCACATTTTTTTTTGATTAAAACTAATTAATGTGTACCAAGAAAAACAAATCTTATTGTTTTAGTCAAAGCTCGTCTTTTCAATTTTCTGCGGTATTTTGAGTATGTAAAATAAACGCGATTTTCCAGGCGCATTTTACAGATTTGATAATTTATTCAAGCGCGTTTAATTCATAGGAGTTTTAGTGCATAACATCATAGATTTTTTTTTTTTGTTTAAAACACCGATTGTTATTTTTTACATACAATTTCCAAATCATATTCATTTTTATTATATTTTAAAGTTCTAAAATGTGTTTGTAAAACAAAATTAAAAACAAAATAGTATTTTATTTACGTACTTTTTTTTAATAACCGTCTAGACCACATGTACTTTGATTTCTTTTGTTATAAGTTTTTCTTTCAAAATATTAGATAAAATAATTTTTAACCTAAATAATAATGCACTTTTATTAATTTACTTTGTAAATATTCAAAAAAATTATCAAACACATTTTTTCTATGATTTTCAAAAATGTATTTTTTGGTACTGAGGTGATCTTATTTCATTATTTATATTTCCATTATTATAACATCTAATATATATTATGGCGGACGCCTAAAAATTAAAAAATTAATATATATTAATTTTTATTTTACAGACATACATGGAAACATAATTAACTTGGATGATCTTAAAACATCTTGTGGAGGAATAAAAAGAATATTCGCGAATACTAAAAACCTACCAAATTTGCAAACAAACTAATTCTATTGGTTCAAAAAACATGCTGACTAAGCGAAATAAAGTTCAAGAGTATTCTGTTGAAATGTTTTAGGAATTGTATCATTTACGATTTGTTGCGTTTTGAGATATCTAGCATAAATTTTTTCGAGAATTTATTATCAAATGAACTATTACTTTAATATTATGGCTCATTCTTGGAGCCACATCTGTAAAGCCGTAAAACTTTTAAACTATTATCATTTGTTTACAAAAATAAATGTTTATAATATATATTTTTTAAATTGTCAAAATTTTGAAAGTTAATTACAAATAATATATTTTATTAGTATATATTTTTATATCTTTTCTTAGTGCTTGATTTAATTAATTGTTCGTTAGATTTGTAAAAAACTAACGAACATTTGATAAAATAAACTTTTAATAAAATAACTAACTATAGTTAGTTATTTGAGTAAAACTTAATAGTAAAATTTTTAAAGAATTTCTAGAATGTTTCCAATGACATCATGCTCTAAAAATCCTATGAATGAAACGCGCTTGAATAAATTATCTAGTGTGTATAATGCGCCTGGAAAATCGCATTTATTTTACATACTCAAAATACTAGAGAAAACGGAGAAGACCAGCTTCGACTAAAACAAGATTTGTTTTTCTTGGTATACATTTATTAATTAGTTTTAATCACAAAAATTTTATTGAGACATTTTTTTTTTAACATTCTCTTTAATATGAACACAATGTCTCAGGACTTGGTAGTGTTTGAGGTCAGCAAAAAATTTTTCAGATTTGTTTTGCCAACCTCTAACAGTTTGACCTTATTTTTTAGGGGAGAGTGAGAAGAGAGGTCTCTTATTTATCTAGATCTATGCTAATGTAAGCAAAGAGATTTCTTCCACTCTATTTAGCAAACATTGCTTATTTGTCTCATGAGTGTGTTAATATTTTTTGAAAAGTACTGCCAAAAAACAACTTTTTGAGGGGTGAAGTGGGACAAAAGAACTTGATTGATCTCCTATTTCTTCCATATCATTTTTGCGTCATACAAACAGGTTTCCACAATATAGAAACCTCTTGAATATTTTTATAAAGGTTAAATGGTTTTTAACTATTTAAAATAATTTTTGTTAATGTTGTTATTTACTTGCCTGTCCCACTTCACTTAACACCTATCACATTACCCCAATGGATAGTAACTCAAAAATCAAAAATATATACTTTATTATAACATACTTTCAGTCTTAGGGAATGGAATCAGTGCCTGGAAAGATACTTGACTTGTTAAAACTTGTTTGATGCAGTACAAAAATTATATTAAAGATATAAAATTATTTTAGAAATATTTTTTAATGTCCTACTTCTCTCTACTCTTCCCTATTTATATTCTTTATTTAAAATTATAGAAAAACTATAATTTTGAATAAAGAAAACATTAAGTTAATATATTAAATATCTGGCCTATGTGACCATTTGCCTGAAAAAACTTATTATAGGCATGGCAACAAATAGAGTGAGAAAATAATAAAAAAAATATTCCAAAAAACATATAGTTTACCATTGCAAATGGATAGCATTGCCGTTGACTAGCAAACATTTGTGATGGGTCACCCTTGAATTGTGGGAAATTTGCTGGGACCATCATTGCACCTTTAGAAAGGTAAATAAACTTTTCAAACGCAGAAAAGATAAAAATAAAGTTAATAAAGTTTTACTTCAAATACTATGTAACTAAAAATATTAATACTAACTATTAGCTCCTTCCATCCATTTTTGACCATCTATAAAAAAAAAAAAAAAGAATTATTAATAAAACACACAAATACAAAAAATAATACTGATAGTCATTTAAAGATTGCAATAAATATTAAAATAACATTGAATGTTTTTTCAAATTTTTTGAAATAGTAATTATAAGGGTGTAAAGTTGTGAGAGAATTGTAATATCTATACGTAAATCTCTTTTAACATCCCGCAAAATTAATCTATGTTTTTGAACTTGTATGATTTTGAAGGTTCCCATAATTAAAATAAAATAACTAAAGCAATTTTCCGCAAGCAAATGCTCTTCTTAATGATAACCCCAGCTTTATATATCAAGACAGAGTATTTTTGATACAATACTATCAGTAAGAAAATTACCATCAAAGATTTACGAGTTCCTTTTACCCATACAAACAATAAAATTGTTATTTTTATAACGTTTCCCTTCTCCTAGTTAAGTTAATTTCATCACAGCTAAGAAGCATAATTTTCCCCAAATATACATTCAAAAAAAATTTGCAGTACCCAGTAGCGGGTATTTTTAAAGAAATTTTTAATAAAGATTTGCATATAATGATTGTTTAGCAATAAACAACAACAAAATATAAATTATATATAATACTAGTTATAAAACAAAAAATAATTAGCCAGAACATTATTTTTTAAAGTTAATAGACTTCATTTTAAAGCTCTCTTGATGATCATAGCATTAACGATATAAGATGTTAGAGTTCGTTCATAAAATAACTACGCTCAGATGCAGGAGAAGGGGTCTGCAAATGGGGTATAAGAGATGGGGTCCAGAGGTCAATTAAAAAAGTAGGGAGATACTAAATTAAAAAGGTATCATTAAATATTAGGTAGGTAGATCAAAAACAAAGGTACTTTAAAGGGAAGGGACAAGTCGAAATAAAAGTGTATGCAATTTATGGATAACCCCTTGATCCAAATATAAACAAACTATTAATTATTATTTAATATTAGGAAACTTTATATATTTCAACAAACTTAATTAGCGCAAATTAATCAGCAATATTTTGAGATAAATAATTCAGCGCAAAAGATTTCTCAAGCTCTTGGTTCCATTTTTTTTAATATGGACTCAGACCCAGTTTTTTATTCCAGGTACATGGAATTGGAGACTCAGCATTAACTGGTTCCGATACATCTCTAATATATGCATGTATGTATATATGTATGTATGTATCAGGCTTGGTCGGGAAGCGGGTGCGATCGCACTCGATAACTGACCACAGAAATAATATTTAGTTGCGAAAAACCGGCCAGATTTTTTAGAGAACATTCAAGTTCACATATGTTTCTTTGTTTGTCCGCAAAACAATTATTAAGTTATATGTATGTATGTATGTATATGTATATGTGTATATGTATATGTAATATATATATATATATATATATATATATATATATATATATATATATATATATATATATATATATATATATATATATATATATATATATTCTAAAATATATTAAATTAGTTTAAAAGATTACAATTAAGTGCAACACTTTAAAACTAAGCAATAACTTATTTCCTTACTACTAATAAATGCTTGGTGGGCCATGACCAGATGATTTGCACCTTGTTCTAAATTCTCTGCGTGACTTCCTACTGCGATGTCCTTTTCTGAGTCTCCCCCAAGAGTTGGAAATTCTCGTTGAAAATATTTGGTTGCACCTAAATTAAGGTAGCTACTTAAACAGAACTTGTAAAATAAACTTGTGTAAATAAACTTTTTAATCAATTTTTTAATTAATTAAAAAATTGTTTTTTTAGGATTATACCTTGAGGTTGAGGTTGAACTTTGCTCACCCATGAAGGTTTTTGAGTGTCTTCTGCCATTCCACCAGGTATAATTCGTGTCCCAGGCACCACACCTGCATGCGGACGAAGAGAAATTTCTTGATTGTTTGTTGTATTCTTCGCTACAGTTGTTTTTGTAGAATCCAATACTCCCTAATAAATGAAAACAGAAAATATTTTGAGATTATAAAATTGGAGAATCATTAAAATAGAAAATCTAAAACTATATTCAGGCTTGGACAGGAATGGCATGCGATTGCACTCTGTAACTGACCACGCCATAATTTTTTTTCTTTACAACTTGACCACAGTTGTTTTAATGTTTAATTATTTTAAATGCAATAAAAAATCATTGCATTATAAATAACAATTAACTGTTGATCTTTTCTAACATTTTTATTTTAGCTTTAAGCAAAATAAAAAAGTAATTATAGTGATTGTTTAAAATAAAAGCATTTTGTGTAAATTAAATATGTCAATTTTTTTAGTAGGCATGTATGATGAATTTAATAAAATAAACAATGATAAAGTTAAATATTTAAAAATACTTTTCCATGTCTTTTTAAAAATATCTCATAAGAATACTTTTTTAAATACTTTCAATTATGATTGAAAATATTTATTTTAAAAACTTGACTTACAAATGAAATGATTAAAAAGACTACATTATTATTTTTAAAAAAATTTTCAACGACCTTTTCAAAAAAAATGTTTTTATATTTAAAAATATTTGTTTCATTTCAATAATTTTATTTGACTTTTTAAATAAAAAACAATTTAATTAAAATTTGATCATTAAATAAACATTCATTAGAAGTAATTTGTAAAAGCCTTTTAAGTGACTTTAATAAAATTCTCAAAAGATAAGATGTAAAGTAATTTATCTCAATTGCAATTAAAAATGTAACAAAAAGTAAATTTTGCCTCAAGTATGAGTTCTTTGAGTTTTTTTTTTTAGTTTTTAGACTTAAAAAAAAGACTTATAAACACTAAGCTAAACTGTTTAGCTTAGCGCTTCTTTTTTCAGCGCAATTTTGAAATGTTTAAATTGTCAAAACATATAAACAGTCATGTCAAGTTGTCAACAACAACAACAAAAAAAATTGTTTGCGTGTTCAGCAATAACGTTCGATTGCACCCCATTCCTGTCCAAGCCTGCATATTGGTTTTTGATTTTCATATCTTGTAAAAGCAGTGCAAGAAAAGGAAAAGAGCCTTCTTTATATGAAAAAATTTTAAAAAAGGATGTAAAATTAATGCACTAACTTCAGATATTTTAAATAGTCAAATCTGTCTTCTAATTATTAGTTAATGAATTATCAACAAATGTTCTTTAGCAGTAGTTGAAATAATGTAATAGAAAAGCTCGAAAATAGTGCCAAGACAATAGAGCAATTAGCTTGTGCTCAAAAAACAGGCAAATTTGATGAAAAAAGGTAAAGCAATACTTGCAGTGGTAAAAGCTAGTGATACACTTAAAAGAAACATTGTTAATAATGACAATATACAACAGCTTTCTATAAAAAGTATGACTGACATACAATCAACATTAAAACTAAGTAACACAACCATGCAAAAGCTTGCAAAAGAATTAAGATTCAAAGTACAAAAAAGAACATTTGTACAACCAGAGTTAATAGCAGAGCTCAAACATTGACTAACAACTTTATGATTTTTTTGTTGAAGATTTTGTATCATATTTGAAGGTTTATAATTTTAAATCCCTAGAAGAAGAAAAATTTGTTTAAAATGATCTTATTTATCAGAATAACAGATGACAATAAACTTCTGTGGCAAGTAATTCATAAAAAAGAGACTTATCCCTAAAATCAATTTGAAAATTTCTATTGATAGGGGTCAGGGAATTCTTTTATATATCAAATTACTTTAAAGGGACTACCAAGACTCGAGACATGTTGTGTTCATATTAAATATAATGTCATAAAAAAATGTTTGAGCACATTTTTTTTTGATTAAAACTAATTAATGTGTACCAAGAAAAACAAATCTTATTGTTTTAGTCAAAGCTCGTCTTTTCAATTTTCTGCGGTATTTTGAGTATGTAAAATAAACGCGATTTTCCAGGCGCATTTTACAGATTTGATAATTTATTCAAGCGCGTTTAATTCATAGGAGTTTTAGTGCATAACATCATAGATTTTTTTTTTTGTTTAAAACACCGATTGTTATTTTTTACATACAATTTCCAAATCATATTCATTTTTATTATATTTTAAAGTTCTAAAATGTGTTTGTAAAACAAAATTAAAAACAAAATAGTATTTTATTTACGTACTTTTTTTTAATAACCGTCTAGACCACATGTATTTTGATTTCTTTTGTTATAAGTTTTTCTTTCAAAATATTAGATAAAATAATTTTTAACCTAAATAATAATGCACTTTTATTAATTTACTTTGTAAATATTCAAAAAAATTATCAAACACATTTTTTCTATGATTTTCAAAAATGTATTTTTTGGTACTGAGGTGATCTTATTTCATTATTTATATTTCCATTATTATAACATCTAATATATATTATGGCGGACGCCTAAAAATTGAAAAAATTAATATATATTAATTTTTATTTTACAGACATACATGGAAACATAATTAATATATATTAATTTTTATTTTACAGACATACATGGAAACATAATAAACATAAAGAACTTGGATGTTCTTAAAACATCTTGTGGAGGAATAAAAAGAATATTCGCGAATACTAAAAACCTACCAAATTTGCAAACAAACTAATTCTATTGGTTCAAAAAACATGCTGACTAAGCGAAATAAAGTTCAAGAGTATTCTGTTGAAATGTTTTAGGAATTGTATCATTTACGATTTGTTGCGTTTTGAGATATCTAGCATAAATTTTTTCGAGAATTTATTATCAAATGAACTATTACTTTAATATTATGGCTCATTCTCGGAGCCACATCTGTTAAGCCGTAAAACTTTTAAACTATTATCATTTGTTTACAAAAATAAATGTTTATAATATATATTTTTTAAATTGTCAAAATTTTGAAAGTTAATTACAAATAATATATTTTATTAGTATATATTTTTATATCTTTTCTTAGTGCTTGATTTAATTAATTGTTCGTTAGATTTGTAAAAAACTAACGAACATTTGATAAAATAAACTTTTAATAAAATAACTAACTATAGTTAGTTATTTGAGTAAAACTTAATAGTAAAATTTTTAAAGAATTTCTAGAATGTTTCCAATGACATCATGCTCTAAAACTTCTATGAATTAAACGCGCTTGAATAAATTATCTAGTGTGTATAATGCGCCTGGAAAATCACGTTTACTTTACATACTTAAAATACTGCAGAAAATGGAGAAGACGAGCTTCGACTAAAATAACAAGATTTGTTTTTCTTGGTACACATTTATTAATTAGTTTTAATCAAAAAAAATTTGCTCAGACGTTTTTTTTTAACATTCTCTTTAATATGAACACAAAATGTCTCGGGACTTGGTAGTCCCTTTAAGTAATTTGATATATAGTCTAATTTTGTATGAATTATTTAGATTTGTTCAAATGTTATTTCAAATCCAGGTGAAACATCAACAAAGGAAAAAAATGGAAAAAATTTAAATAAAGATATGGTAAAGAATCATTTATTATAGCACTGATATCAAATGTACCAGAGACAAATCATAATGCTAAAATAGTGCTCTGTTTAGATAAAATAAGCTTTATTTACATGGCAGTTATCTTACTCTGTCAAGTCATGTGGCGCAGCCTCATTATATTTCTATATGAACAGAAGTTTAAAAAATATCAAACTCTGTCCAAGTTCTATGGCTCATCCTCGTTATATTTTTATATGGAATAAAACAGAAGATTTAAATGTGTGTACTGAGTAGGGATTGCAATCCCGGGCATGAATTACGATCCCAGGATTTCGGGATTGAAGTTAATAAAATCCCGGGATCCTGGTATCCAAGGATTTTATATAATGTGAGTTATTTGCTAACAAACAGAACTTAATACTGCATATATGAATATACTTTTTGATGTTATCAATTCTTTATTTAATTTCATTATGTTTTAATGACTTACCTTAATTTTCTACGGCGCCTTAAATTGTTTCAATTGTGTAACAGGCAGCAGGTGTATATAAAGATCTTAAAATAATGCAGAAATATATATACGGTACCTTCCATATTATGTTTTAAGATTACAGACTTTACAGAATAACCTTCATCAAATAATTGGATATGTAAATAACATTTGAACATATAAAGTGTATTTGACTAAAGTAACTAAACAATCAAAATTATTATTATTTATTAGTTATTCTTCGTTTCGTAGGAGGCTTCTCGTCGTTTCTGGAATCATTCAACTGTTGACTCGAACTAGGTAAATTTTTGTCGGCTGAAGTTACTTTTAAATTATGCTTAGTTGATAAGTGCGTATGAAGGCCTTTTGTAGAACCACCCAATGTTTTTAAAATTACACCACATTTCTTACATTTTGCTGCCAAATTATCCGCAGACTTCAAATAATGTGACCACACTGAAGTTGGGTCTTTATCTTTTTTGTGTAGAAAAAATGATGTTCCATTTTCACTGTTTTCATTCATGTTTAGAAGGATATTTTTTTAAGGTGCATTAGTAAACAACATACTATTGCGGTAAACAACAAAAGCATTAAAAAGGTTATCAGTTCAAAACGTTTAAAACGATTAATTACACAGTCAAATTTTGTATGTATTTACACTAGAATTTCTTCAAGCGGAATTAATTGTAAAGGGCATTATAATGTTGCAATAACTAATAATTGTACAAATATAATTATACAAATTGCTAGAAATATCCCAAAGGGAATTGTTATGTAGTAGTCATTAAATTTTTTTAGATATAATTTTTTTTTTATTACTTGTTCATTTTTATTTTTTTCATTCTCTAAAAATATTTTTTGAAATGAACAAAACCACTTAATAAACTCAAGCAATCACTTAACCACAAATTTGCTCAACAATTTTAAAAATTATCTTTTTAACGCGAGAAGTCTTGCCAACAAACTTAACGATTGTTTTTTATACAATAGTCAAACAAACCTGCCTTAATTTGTGTTTGTGAAACTTTTTTCAATGATAAAATCCCGAACTCCATGGTATATTCAAAAATTTGTTCCATTTATCGTAAGGATAAAGCATAAACAGGATAAACCTGCAAAGCAGCATTATATAACTCGTTATAATTCAGTATAGTTACCAACTTTGAACATTTTGTTTTACAAAAAAATTTAATTAGTTCAATCCTGCTATAATCCCGAAAATCCCGGGATTTTGTGTTTAGAATCCCGGGATTTTTGGGACCCAAAAATGTCCGGGATCCCGGATCTCGAGATCCAGGATTAATAATTAAAATTAATACAAGCTAAATTTTAATTTTAGGACAGGGAGGCAGAGCTATTTTGGCTCTCTTATGTTTTATTATAGGAAAGGAAGTGAAAACATTTTGACTCTCTTGTTTTATAATTCTATAAATTAAATAATGATTAGATTAAGAAAATTTAGACAAAACATAAATTTTATTAAAATATTATTTAAAAACAAATTTTTATAAGACATTTTTTAGAAATAATTTTATGCTTCTTAACTGATGAACCAACTGTTCACAGATGGTGTAAATTTTAAGAATTCTAAAAAGGTATTACACGAGTCTATAACACTTCATTAAACTATGACTTTATTCAGCAATATAAATAATTCACAAAAGGTTTTTAAAATTGTATAAATAATTTCTATAAATAAAATAATTTACTTTTTATTTATTTAATTATATAAATAGTTTTTTTATATACTAAAAAATAATTACGAAAAATAAAAAAGTTAAGAAATAAAATAATTTTTCTTATTCTACAACTGCTGCGTTCAATAATTGAGTGTTCCTATTATTATTCAAATTAATAAAATAAAGTCTGCCTATAACTTAATTCTTATAATAATAATCTTAAAATAGTAAAGAATGATAGAAAAATCTTACTAATGGCGCCCCATCTAAAACATTTTGACCATCCTTCTTTACCCATCCTTGACTCCCTGTAGATGGTACTAAATTTACACGAGGATCGTTACCAGAATTTTCTTTTTTTAATGATGGTAAGCTAGCAGGTTGCAATACTCTTCTTGATTGACCGATTTTTCCCAAACTTTGCATGCCATGACGAACACCTTGAACACCTGAAAAATTAAAACTAGTTTGTACATACATATATAACCTACAAATGCATATATGCAAAGATAGGTATTATTTGTACATTGTAGACTAATTTTTTCTTAGTTGCATACAACTAAGATAAAACTAGTTGTATGTTAAAAATACTACAATACACTTAGGCAATATTATTTATAACATGATGAATCATAATTTCTGCTCTCAATAATAAAAAAATAAAATTTATTTGATATTACAAAGAATATAAATAAAATTTAAAAAATATATATTTATATATAAATATATATTTATCTATGAATATAAATAAAAAAATAATAAAGATAAAGGAAAATGTAATAAAAATTAGTTGTAGTTGTATATTTAAATTGTATGTAGTATATTTATATTGTATGTAGTTGTATATTTAAACATAAGTTATTATTAATTATAGTGACTATTTAACCTAGAAATCTTGTGTAAACTAACTTAATAATTTTTTTATATTTTATATTATACTTGTATACTATTTAAATAAATATTAAAATATTTTTCTCTAATTAAAAAAAATGCCTGCCCAAACCTAAACCCTCAGTTGATTTATGTACACTCCACTTCACCTATCCCTATTTAAGTTAGTTGACATGTATACTCCTCACGGTTGGCATCAAATATGTTGGGTAAATACAAATACATTAACTATTTCCAAAATGCAAAGTTAAAAATATGCAAACAGCATTTTCCAAATATTTATATATCTAGATATTCCAAATATAGAAGTTTGAAAAAGGTCTTTTAATAAATATCTTTTAAAAACAAAATTGTAATTTATTTTAGTGTCAAAAAAAACAAAGAACAAAACAAACTAATAATGAACCTCTTGGTATTTCTCAAAAAAACACTGGTTGACCTAAACTGCAAATACATTTCAATCAATACAAATATTTAGGAATATTTTCTTATTATATACAATGTAATAAGGAATGTTCGATTCCTCATTATATTGTCAGGGGCTAGTCTAGACCGTTTTCGACAGCGTCAACCGTATTTGGGCGCCGCCCAAATTAAAATTGGGGGACCTTTTTTTTTTGAAATTTTTTTTTTCGGAAAATATTTTTATTTTTTCTAAAAAACAGCCGATTTTCTGCCAAAGTTCACCGGAACAAGGGGGTACTGCGGCCCAAATTTTTTTCCTAGAATGGGCCCTGATTGTATATAATGAGGAATCAAACTCGCAACTCTGTCATCCGTATTTTAAAAATGGATTAAGTTTACATCTACAGCATTATGTAAATATACTAATGACCTAAAATATTATACTATTTAAACATTTTTTGCGTACAAATAAGGTTTTTATTGTGTATGCATGTACAAATAATGACTTCCATATACAAATACATACATCAAAACTATAAATACATGCTTATGTAACTACATGTTAGCTACAAAAATAAAAAATTAAAAAAAAAATTTAATAAGGTGAAACAAGAAATGATTTGACCAGGAACTGTGGTAGAATTAATTCAAGGTAGCATTTCCATATGGAAATGTGACAACAGTAAAAGTTTGTATAAGTCTTAATGGCGGTGTTGGTTTTTTTTTTTAATAATGATACACAATAATTCTCTAAGTTTTAAGAGCTAAATTTTTTCTTACATTTTAAGTCAATAGAGGCAGGGTAAATTAGGCAATTTTTACAAAATTTAACAAATCTCTTGAATATACTTAGGTACTTTGGATTTACATAATTTTTTCAACATTAGAACGATAGTTTAACAGAGTTCCCACTATTAAAACTGAGGCTAAAAGTAAGAATTTTAAGGAGATTTAAGGAGATATTTTCCTAATATTTAAGGAGATTTGGTCACAAACAACACTTTTTTTTAAGAAAAAGGAAGGAGAATTAAGGAGAAAACATTAGAAGCAGAATATTATTTTTTTCAATTAATTTTAAATATAAACAGAAAAATTATTATAAATTAATATATTACTTTACACATATATAAATATATATATAAAAGAAATATAGGTTTGCAAACTATCAGAGAACTATATATTTTTTTCTTTTTTATAAGTATAATCCTTCACTTTAATAAAATTTCCTAGATGATTAAAAAAGTAAAAAAAAAAAAAAAAAAAAAAAAGAAGAAAAAATTGAGAAAAGCACTCAAATTTTATCTTTTTTTAAGGTTATTTAAAGACTTTTAAGAATAATTTTTTTTTTAAGGATACTTAAGGTTTTTAAGGAGAACCCTGTTTAATTTGCTAAAAATTGGTTAAGAAAAAAAATCTTTTCACATAAAGTAGTTATTTTGAGAAATTCAAAAAAAAAGAAAATTGCCTTAAGTCTACAAGGCTGCTCAAAGCCTAAGGAGGTAAGTTATGTAGCTGCATGTAGCAGGTTGAGCAATGAACAAATTAATGCATATGCAAAACATAAATAAAATTGAATACAACAATTCCTACATAAGCAAACAAACATGTCTTTTTTAACCACCTAAAAACTTTTTCTTTTATTAATATTAAAATAAAACAAGGTTTAAACATTACAATTGCTTTTTTCTATAGCATGCTCTTTTTTTTAATTTTCTTACTCTTATATAATTTTTCTTTCATATGATTTTTTCCTTTTATATAGAAATTAGCTACTATATTGCTTGTGGGTTCGTTTTTTAAAAGTAATCATTATACATTAACAAATCTTTTCATCTTTAAAATAGGCTTGTATTGCTTGTGGGTTTGTAATTTTTTTTTTTTAAAGTATAACTTTTTCTCTTTGATAAATAAATCTTTTTTATTTTTAAAATTAGCTGAGATTGCTCGTGGGTTTGTAAAGAAATTTTATTTGTAAAGAAACTCAAAGTAAATTGAGAAAAATTCATTATTTAGTATCAATGGATAACAATTTACAATTGTTTGGTAATTGCTTATTAATTATCATTAATTTGTACTTTGCAAATTAATGATAATTAATAAGACCAAGTACAGAAAAGCTTCTTTCAAAGTTAGTAGTACTGGGTGTAATTAGAAGAGAAAATTTAAAAAAAGTCAGTAACTCTAGATATTGTAATTGTTCTTTCATTAGAGCAGCATATGTGGTAGTGGTGTAGTGGTAGAGCGCTCGCTTCATAAACGAGTGGTTCGGAGTTCGATGCCCACCACGTCCCTGGTAGTACCGCGCTTAACTCGTTTCTCCGCGCAGCGGCCTTGTTCGTCAAGGTTTGTGTTTCGGAGTTATAGAGTTGAGAGAGGGTTATAGCCACGAATAAGTAGCCTCCTCGTCTGTAGTGGCCTTCTCGGCCTTGAGGAGGTGAATTAAAATTAAAAAAAAAAAAAAAAAAAAAAAATTATAATTGCCAGTATCAAGTGTAAACAGAGGAAATAAAGGAATTTATTTTTTTAATTTGTAAAATGAAAAGCTAGGTGTTTTTTTTTTTTTTGGTTTAAAATTTGTTTTTTTCAAATTTTCAATTTAAAATTTAATAAATATCAATTTTTTTCAACAATTTTAAAATTTATTAAAAATCAATTTTTTTTTAAATCTAACTTCTACCTCTAGTGTCTACACTACTTTAATTAGAAATCAAATGCTTAATACACCTTCAAATTCTAAAATAATTTCATGATTAAGTTTTTAATGAAATAAAATAATGATAACTGTATTTAACCAAATTTACTGTTGATATATGATAAACTTGTATATGGAAGTGTTAAAAAATATCATACTACTATTAATATTCCTTTGTTTTGAAGCAGCTTTCAAAAGAGCATAACTTTTATTAAAAATACTACAATACACTTATGCAATATTATTTATAACATGATCAATCATTATAATTTCTGCATTCAATAATAAAAAAAATTAAATTTATTTCATATTACAAAGAATATAAATAGAATTAAAAATAAAGGAAAATGTAAAAAAAAAAAAGTTTAAAAACAAAAAAAGATCTCTGTTACTTATGTTGTAAAAAAAAATACTTAAAACAATGTTTTTTTAAAATTAATTTTTTAAACTTAATATAAAGTAATTGAACAATTACTGCAATTATTTGATGAACAATCGAAGAACTTATAAGCCATTACTAATAAAATGGTATTTAAAAAAAAACAGCTTTCAGCGAATTATTTATCATAAATTAATAAATACACAAAAGGAAAATAAATACAATGACAAATTGTAACTTTGGTTTACTGAAATTATCAGCAGAAAAAAAAAAGCTGTAGTTGTTAAAGTTTAATCTCAGAAACTGCAGCACAAAGATTTACAAAAACATTAGAAAAAACCAATATCCACCAAACATGAAGTTGCTTAAAAAATTGTTACTATAACAGCAATGTGAACATTAACATATTTAGTAACAATTTATCACTATTCCCATTTAGTGTTGTTGATGATGATAACCTGTGCCATCTTTAAATAAATTAAATGTTGGGTGTTGAATTTTCTTCTTATAAGAATTCTTTGCAATCGCAGCTTAGGCGGATTGGGACATCCCTCATAGTGATGTTTTTTAACCAACATACATGGTAGCATTTTCACGTAATTAATTGTTAATTAATCTCTCTTGGGATCAAAAGATGTCAAAAAATATCTTTTTTATAATTAACGATGTTACTGTAAATTTAACAAAATGTTAGTTTTTTCATTTCCATATTTCTCTGCTATTTAAAATCAAATTGAATTATATAAAAATATATATCACAATAAAAACTTTAAATTTTCAAAAATAATTTTAAAAAACTGTAAAAATACATATTCTATTGTTGAATATATATTTTCACACATACATATATGTAATATAAATAAGTAAAATTGTGTTATGTAAATAAGCCAAAAGTTTTTCCATCATCAAGTTTTAGTCTATTATTTACTTTATCTTTTAAGTGAAAATTTCAACAAATTAATAAAGCTTAGCATATATTAACTTTTGAAATGAAACTTTGGTAATTAGGAAAATATTGTTCAAGAAAAATGCAAGGAAGCACACATACATCCATTAGTATATTTAGATTTTATATATGTGCACTTGCCACACCAAGTGTAAATATGTTAATTGTTTGGTTTATGGACAAGTATTGTGATGTGTACACGTAACAACTGAAGGTTTTGGCTAAGGCAAGAATGAGTCATTATGTTTGCAAGCTAAAAAAGATATTTTATTACAACAGAAAAACCAGTATATTTATAATATAGCTTGTACAATAGTTATATTAAAAGATAGCAAAAATCTGTGCCCGATATAAAATAATAACATATAACATAAAAGAATTTTTATTTATTAGTAAATAACATGATCATACAACAGTCAAAAGTGAATGCTTTCGCTATTTATGATTATCGGGCATGAATTTTTGCTAATATTTTATAATATATTATAATCTAACATTTAAAATGATACAGTAAATTTTTAAATTCGTTCACTTGAACAAAGAGCACTTTTATATGACTTTTAGGTCTATGATTTATACAATTCTTAATCAGAAAAAAATTTCTATCACAATCAGTCATAAAAAACATAACGTAGGAAACCCAAATAGTGCCTAATTTTAAAATTGTCTTAAAACTACTTTTATTCTAATTTAATAAACATAGATTGTTAGCATTTACTACAACTCACCGGAACCAGTTTTTTCTACTTTAGATTTGTACGTTTGATTTAGGTTGATAGTATTGTATTTCTTGCCAGGTAACTCTTTTCCTTTATTACTTGAAGTTTGTGACATGTTGCACTAAGAAACTGTTTATGATACATGTAGAAGCTTTTTTCCAGCACCTGTAAGTGCTGGTTCCTGGAAAATACGAAACAGGTTTTTTAGCAACAAGGATGCGATATTTATCAAACAAAGATGGCGGGATCGAAATATTTTGCAAATTTTTTTTATTAAGTTACCAGTGATGTAAAATTTAATTATCACTTACAATTGAAAATAACAACACAAGACAAGGGTTAATAATTTCCACTAAGTATCTAGTGTCAATATAAAACAAATTGATCTGATGAAAAAGATATCACTGGATTTTTTTTTGGGCAAAAACTCAGAATAGTAGTTACAACTCTTTGATCAGGAGTTTGCCAGCGTATTTTCATAAATTATGTAATTTATGCTAAAGCTGGAATATTTAGCGCGCGTCGATTAATGAAAAACAAGAAGACAATAAAGGGTTTACTTTATTCACTTTTTAACAATTAGTTTTTCTAAATTTAGTTTTAAAAAATTTATTAATACCCAGTAAGCACAGAACGTTTTTAAAACGTTTAAAAAACCTATAAAAACGTTTTTTAACGTTTTTTAAACGTTTTAAAAACGATCTGTGCTTACTGGGTAAAAGATAGGTTCACAACTTTATACTGATAAAAGCTATCCCTCTTGAAAATTTTTGAGCTCTATTTTATTGCAAGTAATTAGAAATTAAGTCGATACCAAGAAACTTTTATATTCTATTTTTAATCTTTTTGAGAAAATAAAACAAATAAGTATTTAATAAAAATAACAATTAAATTCTAAAATTATTCTTACTTTTTTATTTTATTTTTTTTGTCTTTTCAATTTTTCTTTTTTTTAAAAAAAAAATAAATAAATACAAAATACAACAAAATAGTTTAGTTCAAGTACTTAGTTAAGCAGACGATCTTGTTTTCTCTACTTGACTTTATCTTGATGCAAAATATAGTTGAACTGTTAGCCATCTTATTATTAGTTAGGTTTGTAAAAGTTAATCGCACATTATAGCAATATTTAACTTTATATTAGATTATTTTTATTTATTTTTCATTTATATTATATATCTTTACATAAGTATTATTAATTTATATAAAATATCTTTATATTATTTAACATTGTAGCAATATTATTTAATTTATTTAATAATTTTAAAAAATAAAAACTTCAGCACTCAACTGAAATAGGATAAACAATTACGAGGAACTAAAATTAGACATTGTATTTTAAAATATTTAGGTTTAAACATATAAAATGTGAGGTAACTTATCTACTATTAGATATGCCAGATGTCTTGTTTTTTTTTTTTTTGTTTTTTTGTTTTTTTATTATTATTTTTTTTTAAAGTGTATAAATGCTTTAGTTGAATAAAAAGGATAAAAATTAAATTATTTAATGAACATTTCTTTAGGCGTATTAATTTTAGTTTGTGTGACTTTCCGATATCATCTTTGAATAATGTAATTTCATTTGTGATTGTGAATAGATAATTTTAGCTTTTTTTTATTTTTTGCCTTTTTCCGATTATTAGAAAACAAAAATATTTTTCCTCATGAGGCTTTATCTGCGTTGTTTACAAAGTAATTTTCATTATACGAATTGTTTGAATTAGGGTAGCGCGTACAGTTTTTGATATCTTATGTAATATAAATTACAATTATTGGAACAACATTTCGTCGCATGAGAATTATAGGGTTCTATCTGCCTTGTTTTATGTTGAAAGAATTTAACAATCAAAGTTTTAAATAATAAAAAAAAAATAAAAAAAAAAACACTTTAAAAATTATATATCATTTTTTAAGTGGTTTATTATAAAATATGTTAAATAATGAAGTATAGATAACATAAACAACTTATAATTTATAATTATAATGAATAACTGCTGTAAAACATGTATTAAATAAATATTGAAAGTTAAGTTCTCACAACATAAAAAAAGGCAGATAGAACCCTATAATTCTAATGTGACGATTTGGCAAAAATAAAAGTAAATCATAAATAAGGATAAAAATATTAACAAAAATAAGAGTTTATGACCAAATACTTTTAATAATATTTATTAACAAAAGAAATTTAGTTTCCATATATCTAATATATAATTGTCCAGATCACTGAATTTCTAATTCCCTAATGTAAATTGTAATTACTTCTTAACGGTTAACTATAACATTAAAAAAAATATTTTTACTCGGTAAGTAATTAATCAAATAGTTTGCAAAGTGTGGTTCTAACTGAAAAAATGACAAATATGTCCAGTAAACTACAGACACTCACAATTTAATTGATATATAAGTTAAAGTTTGGCTACACCGTTTTTAGCGCTGTCAGTTTCCATCAAAATATTTTAAAGAGCATCTCAAACTTTAAAACAGAATAAGCCAGCATAAACCAGTATAAACCAGTATAAACTAGTATAAACCAGTAAAAACCAGTATAAACAGTATAAACCAGTATTCAAAGGGCTTTCAGTTGAAAAAAAAAATGGTGCAACTATCTTTTCAATTTGCTAATTTATGGGGCTTTAGCGAGTGAGGCAGGTAGAGGAAGTATTTTTACTGTTTTCGATGAAACTTTTCTTTTAGCCTTTGATAGTTTTTGAACAGAATTTCAGATATTCCTTGGTGTTCCTGATGACAAAACGGTAAGCCATTTAAAATTTGCCTTTACTCAAACTTTTTTCAATAGCCTTTTTTGACGTAACATTTGCAAACTTTAAAAATTCAAAAAGCCCAATACATTAACATTTTACTAAAATACTAATTGTCCAATTGGTGAATTGATAAAAATATTTGATTACTTTTCCGGAAGAAGTTTAGAAGCTTTTACATAATCATTTTAAACTAGAAGTAAATTCTTATAATTAGACTAGATTTAATCTAAATCAAGCAACTAAAATATGTTTAAGTATTTGTAGGTGACAAACTCTTTTTAGTCAGGTAACATGCAATGTATTAAATAGTTTTTGTGCTCCATTACAGGAAAATGAAAACTTGGATGTTATAGGTTAACTTGTAGACAATAAAAATTAGAGTCATAATAACGAAAGCATCATGAAAAGTTTTATGTTTTTTTTAATTATTCTAAAATTTTTTAAAAAAAATTTTTTTTTGTATCTTGCCAGTGTGAAATGAAGACTGAATGCCTCAGATAACTGCTCGTTATAAAAACCAAACCAATTCACATTCAAGAGAATGAAGTTTGCATTCTCTTGAATGTGAATTGTAGTGCTGGACTTAAGTTCTGATTGATATAATTGTTTTTGGTCTTTCTTTGGACTGCAGATTTTCAGAGTTGATGTCACCCCAACAGCAGGGGTGTGAACTGGAGTTAGACTTGGTTTCATAAAGTATGTTAGCAACTTTGTCAACATGTCACTTGCAATTAAGAAATGTGTTAACAATCCCCAAAAAAGCAAAGAATAACCTTAGGTTATCGTAGTTTTCTGAAAGTTTTTTAGCTATTATTGCAATCAAACCCCAAAAAGACTAGTGTTGATTTGAACTTTGGCCATGCTGAGAGCATGGGGCTATTTTCTGAGTTTTGGCAAAAAATTTTAGAAGTGAAGGAAATTTGTTCACCCTGCGCTCTAATCAGTATTTTAGCTCTTTAAGACAAAGCAACTTTTTGCTCAATGATAGAGCCTGATTGTGATTTGATCTGCTAACTTGATAAATGAAGCATGAATAGTCAGTGGGTTTTCTTGTAATCTTTATACTTTTAAAATCGTATAGTCTGGGAGCTCACCACTGATTTGACAATAGTCTAGTTTTTGCTAGCTTGTTTTGCAAGTGTTGCAAAATTTCGGATGGAGTCTTGAGATCAGTGAAGTCAATCTCTTGTTTGAGTAGAGATTTGGTTCTCTTCTTCATAAAATCTAAAATTTGTCTATCGCATTTTTTCATACACAGAAAGCAGACAGTACTTTTGCAGTCTTATTGAGTTTCTGGAATGTTGGGGATTTTTTTTTTAATGGAGCACAAAAACTATTCAATACATTGCATGTTACCTGACTAACAAGAGTTTTTCACCTTCTAACCCTGACTAACAAGAGTTTTTCACCTTCTACAAATACTTAAATATATTTTAGTTGCTTGATAAAGATAAAATCTAGCTTACTAATTAGAATTCATCAAAACTTACTTCTAATTTAAAATGATTAAGAATGTAAAAGCTTCCTAACTTCTTCTAAAAAAAGTAGTCAAATATTTTTATCAATTCATTAATTGGACAATTAGAATTTTAGTAAAATGTTAATGTATTGGATTTTTTAAATTTTTAGAGTTGATTATTTTTTGCAAATGTTACGCCAAAAAAGGTCATTCAATTTGAATAATGGCAAATTTAAAATGGCTTACCATTTTGTCATCAGGAACACCAAACAAAGAATGTCCGAAATTCTGTTTTGTTTGTTGTGAAAATCTTGTGTCACCAAAGCAGAAAACTATTTAAGTTTTGGGAACTTGTTGAATTTCAGGAACTTTGAAATTATTTTAGGTATGTATTAAGTACATACCAAAATTAACTAGTTCAAAACGTCTCAATGCCGTCAAAATTTGTTGTAGGGAAAGTTGGGTAGCCTCGGACACTTACGTAAAAAATAGATTGTACGCATGTACTGTATGACATGTATTGTACTGACAGAAAAAAAAGTGTCAAAAAGACTTTTTTTAAAAAATAAACATTTATTTATCAAATTAGAAACAAAAAAAAAACTATTGTTATCTTAATAATATACAAAATATAAAAGAAAAAATCCTACAAAAAAGCGTGCTTCAAAATTGGAGGGTAGCTTCACATAGTTTAACCATAATTTTACCTCTTTTTTACCCAAGTGATCCAAATATAATACATAATTAATTAGCTTTGGAATGTTTTCAATACATTAAAAAAAAAAGATATATAAGTAATGGGAATGAAAATGTTATCATTTAGAAATATAAACATTAGCTTTTACTAATAAAAATAAATACTTTAAAAACAAGTTTTAAGAATCTTTGGTCTTTTAATGGAATTAAATGAAATACTATTATGGGTTTGTCAATGTATTATTTCTTATAATAAAAGTCGCTCATTTGTTAATGTATAAATGGATTAAGTTGTCCAGAACCAACCTCCAAACATGTGTCCAATACCACCCATTCATACCTCATTCATAAATACTAGTTTTAAAACCAGTGAACTAAATATTAAAAGAATTTTTTTTTAAATAAATATTGCAAATAAAAATCTTTAATCAATAAAAAGTTATTAAATTACATAAAAATTAATATGTGAATCAAATATAATGATACATCGCTCTTCTGGTGATGGGAAACAACATCTTGCATTCCCAGCCAATTGCTTTGGCATATTATGATATTTTGCATATGTCA